TTGGGAGGAACCTATGCTCGTCTCTTTCCCCCCAGGGATCCCCTCTAAGACGGGCCTGCCTTTATTTAGCTCCAAGGCCATGTCCTCTGCTGGGGTAAGGTCAGCCTTTGGTGACCCACCACCCGTGCCTTGTCTGTGGGTATTCTTTTTCACTGCTAAAACAGTACAGACAATGTGTGAGCAGGCACCTTCTGGGTACAATATATGCTTGTGCTTTGTTAAATATTAGTCAGGGACCATACCATTCTGCAGAATGTTCTTGTATTTGATTTTGACCTGCTGCCATGTCCGTTTTGGCCCGTTCATGTTTAATCTACACACACACACACATTTAATGGAGTCACACTGCAAAAAATTAATTGGTATTTTTGTCTTGTTTTCAGTAAAAATATCAAAAAATTTATCATAGCTTTATATAGTGTGATGGAGTTACTTTACACAATTTCACTCATATCTGCAGTGCATTTCAATTAAAAATTTAACCGTTTCATAATTACAGTACAACTGCATTTTTGGAGATGTGAATTAAATATTTGAATTGTAATTGTGATGTTTCAGCGGAGCGGTGAGTGTGTAATTGTGCACTACTTACGCATTCAGGCGGTCTGCAATACTTTGCCACGCTTTTTCTCTTTGCTTTATCACTGTGGCGGTGTTGCCTTTCTTCTTAATTATATCTTTTACCTCCTCGTATGCCTCCATGAGGATTTGTGCTTCCGACGGGGAAAAGTACGCGGCTCTAGTTGCCATGGTAAATCAGTTAATCTGTGATCTGTGGCGGGGTCTATTTGAGTGAGCCGTGAGCGCGCACCTATCCAGGATTGGTTTCACCTGGCTTAATGAATCCGTGTCTGCTCATCCTGGCTTGGTCTTTGTGCAACCAATTAAGCCTGGACGCACATGTTTTGGCTTCATTGAGCTCAGCCGAGTCATTTATCCCGGATGTCTTAATTCTACTTTTGTGCAACAGGCCCCTGGTGTGTGGCAAAACTCTGCAGGCAGCTCATCATCACAACACCCACATCCAATAATAAGAGTTTAGCATCCACTTGTGGCAGCTGGTTTCCACTGCACTATACACTGAGTATAAAAAACATGACAGACTGACCAGGTGAATCCAGGTGAAAGCTATGATCCCTTATTGATGTCACTTGTTGAATCCACTTCAATCAGTGTAGATGAAGGGGAGGAGACAGGTTAAATAATTATTTTTAAGCCAAGACAATTGACACATGGATTGTGTATGTGTGCCATTCAGAGTGAGGGGAAAACAAAAGGCGCACCGGTTTGTGTCAAGAACTGCAACGCTGCTGTTTTTTTTACGCTCAACAGTTTCCCGTGTGTATCAACAATGGGGGGGGGTCTCAATATTAGGAAGGTGTTCCTAATGTTTGGTATACTCAGTGTATTTACTGTGCCCATAATCTTGTCCACCAGCCGGCTCACATGCAGTAGCAATTGAGCCTGGGAACGAGGTTACTGTGATCATAGTTCCTTTTTTCCTAAAATAGTTGTTTGCATCATATCTAGTCTTTTTGCTTTTATTTTTGTTTTAAAGGTAGACTCAGCGAAATGACATTGCCATGAGCAGGACCGCAGATATTGAGATGAGCGAGATGCAAGACTTTGCTCTCACACAGTCACACACAGTATCTACGCATGTGCAAGGGTTCACTTCATGTGGTAGCCAGGGCACTAAAACAACAGAGAAGTTGAACGTCGTGCTTCAACGCTCTTAGTTGTTGCAGAAATTGACCTTCTATGCAGTTTACTTTCTGCATCTACGTCATATCGATGAGTCTACCTTTAAAATGATCTTTATTAAATAGGCTATTCAATGGGTGATCATTTACATTTAAACACTGTAATAAATGACAATCAAAGTATACAAAAAGACATGAACAGCATAAGTTTCAATGGCAATAAGCTTTTTATTTAAACATTAAGGCAGTGTTTTTTTTATTTTAATTTTTACACTGCTATCCACAAAGCTTGCTGGTGGGCATGTAGAATTAAACAGTGTGAATAGTTTTTTTGTAAATACCAACCTTGCAGCAAGCCACATAAATATTTACATCTTTTCAGTTCTATATACAATCCTTGCTATTATACAGTGGGTTATAATAATAAAAAAAGAAATCATTATGCACAATATGGTTGAACAATGTCAATGCCATCTCTCCCGCCCACCCTTGGACAATACAGGGATCGTATCGGCCATTCGACTAATTTGTTTTTCGTTCGTTTTGAATCATTCTTTTCATTACAAATGAAACGCTAACTTCTAGCATGGAAAGTGACATGACCGTAATCAAAGCAAGCAGTGTAAGAACAAACAGAAACCAGAGGGAAAAACATAAATCATTAAAATACACATCAGTACATTTAAAACTGATTATTCTAGTTTCCTCTGCTATTTATTTAGCTAACATGTGGATATGGTTGTCTTCCTGTCATGTCAAACTTTACTGTCACCTTGCTCTCCCAATGACCTCATGAATAGTAAATTGAGTAGAGAGGCTGAAACCCTTTTGGAATACAAAGCTGACATTACCTTTGTTTAATTGGGCCCAGTTAAAAACGTATAATTTGAGCTCCACTTTGACTGATTAGATCTAAAACATGACCAGTTTAGGTAGCCAGAGTAGAAACTTTATGTAATCCAGTGAAGATTAAGGGGGAGGAGAGCAGAGGCAGTCCAACAACTGTTACACATGTTCATGACTAACTCAACCCGCTCTCAACTAGTGGACTGGTCAGGATAACACACTGGAGTCCCCCTCAACAACAGTCAGTCACACTGAGAAGAGCTGGGCTTCTCTTGCTTCAACACAAGCCATGAACACTGTCATCTACCACATCAATTACAAATAGATGGCCTTTAAAATGGGTAAAAACTTAATCACACATGGTAAATGAACACCAACTGTTGTACTTTTTAAACCTCTGAATCAGGATCATGACAGAATATGTGACAGTTAAGAGCTAAGGCTGTGACAGATTTAGAAAAAATCAATAGAGGGATGTTTCATCTGCTCTTGGTTTCAACATTTCCCTGCATGGACACGTATAACCCTGGCATGAAGAAAAATGATAGGAAAATAAAATTTAAAAAATTGTGCGTCACTTGGTAACTTCAGTACTGTATATGTAAAATAAATGGCACTTAACACTAGACATATCTTATAACTGTACAAAATCGGGTCTAGATAAGAAGGTGCGTCTGGCCTGGCGTGAGGCAGAGCTCCTCTTCCTCTAGACAGTAAAAGGTCAGAGGTCAGACTGTCACAACAGGCAGCTCCTAGAGACATTAGGAGTTCCATCCTAGAGACGGGCTTCCAGCAGGCCAGCTGGGGCTCACACTACAGCCACAGCTAGCACCGCCATGGACCAAGGGGCATAGAAACATGAATGGCTTTTATTTGTCACCTCTTTAATGCAAGCAAATTCCAACTCTGATGATGGGAAATTTGCCCTAAAGCAGCTTTAAGGTTGGTCCACCCACTCAAAGCGGACTAGGTAATGTTTCACTAGAACTGTGATTGTCGCTTGAGTGTCGGAGCACTAAAGAATGTTGGTGGCAAGACCAAATGAAACAAACAGATGTTAAAGGAGGAAGCCTCAACAATAGGATTCTAAGCTCTTCTTCTCGAGTCCATTCTCGCCTGCCCGAAACAGATTCCTAAAAATGCCATTGTGAACAGATTGACAACTAAGTGCTTAACATCCAAAAACATTCTCAACAAACACAGACACGGTTCATATAAAAACAGTGAGAAAGTGTCACTTGTCTCTTAGTGCCATCCATCACACCCACAGACTGCTCTCTCTATTGGATGCCAGGAGACCATATGCCGCCACCATCCTCCAATAACATTTCAAATGTATGATGACATCAGCAATGGACAGCATGTATACCCTGTAAACCCCCGAAGATAGATCATTGCAAATAAGAGATAACTGACACCATAAAAAATTCACCATCAAAAGTACTAAAGGTCTCAGCTCACTTTCAAACACAGGACTGGACTGACTTGATTTAAAAAGGAGAAAATAAAATAACCAACACAGGAAAACAACGTGTTTTTCTCCTCCTGTCCATCATCTGATGCATTCTAATAGCGGTAGAAATGGACAGGCAGTCTGCACTCAGTGTCCACAGTACTGTACACAATAGATGGCATGCCTGGCTACATGCCTGTCCGCCTGCCCTCTGCACAGTGCCCTCTGACCCAGTGAACGATTCCACTTCCCTAGCAGACCTCTCCATACAGACCTCTGTGTGGTTCACACTCTGTCCATGGGGTCAATGGCAGAGAGATCGAGCGAGAGCGAGAGTGAGAGAGAGAGACAAGGGAGGGAGCATGCAATCACTGCTGCGCTGATGCATGTCAACTATGGTTGGGTTTGTTGGTCAGAGGGGGCAGCAGGCTACTCCAAGTTGAAGATCCAGGTTGAAGCCCTGTTCATAGAGCCCTGACGGCAGAACAGAGCAGGCTTCCTGTACAAGCAGAGGACACATCCATCCTTGACCAGGGCCAGTGAATCCCTCAGCAGGCCAAATTAAAACACATGAGCATCAGATTATGGGGCCGTAACAAGTCCCTTCCACAAACCATAGAAGACACTAGAACAGTATACAAACAAGCGCATGAGTTGATGTGTCTGTATTGATAAGGCCAGCAAGATGGGGGAAAAAATAAAGTAAAAAACAAGTGATTTGTCCTTTAGAGTAGTCCTGGAGTGAGTGCATACACAGAAACACTAACACACACGGAGCACCAGTGTTTCAGCACACCACCATCGGTGCTTGTGATCTTCAGTCAGCTGTGTGAGATGGGAGGCCCAGAGGTCAGGTCATGTCGCACTCCCTTGCTGGGTGGAGATGGAGCTGTAGAGCGGAATGATGTGTGCGTGTGTGTGTGTCAGGTGTGTGCCTGCAGCAGCAGAGGTGGTTGATAGTTGGCGGGTGCTGTTCTGTTCCATGGCAGGGTCTCTCACTCACTGTCAGACAGGGTCTCATACTGAGAACACAGCAGGGGCTTAGGCTCCTCCTCCCAGGACCGTCCCTGCCCCTGAGCCCCTAACTGGCCTGAGGGGGTGGGGGAGGAGTTCGACACCGGCATGCCACTGGGGAAACGCATGGTCAGGGGGTTACATGGGAAGGTTGTGGGGCCTGCAGGAGGAAGAAGAGCAACAATAAATCCTTGAGTACCCACCATGACGCCATAGGCAGCAGAATGCAGTTCACAGGGTTTAAAGGTGATGGGTTTCTTGTCTTTGATACAGTTGAATATGAGCAGTGAGAGATGAGATGATGATAGAGGTGAGAGGTGCAGTGAGGGGGGGGGGGAGAGGCAGCAGTACCTGTGGAGGAGGGCGGGTCCTCCCAGACACGGTTGGTGACGGGCGTGCGGCGGTTGGTATCCCCCTCAGAGTGGACAGAGGACACAGAGGAGGGCCTCTCCCCCACTGACAGGCCCGGCCCGGGGGATTTGGCCTTCCGCCCGTTAGAACGCCCGCTGCCCTTTGGCTTCCCCCCACCTGCAAGCAGAGAGAGGGAACACAGCACAGCCCTGTGGTTTAGTGGCCAGTTCTATTCACATTTATCTACCATACATCAATTGAGAGAAACCAGTCTAGCAAAGCTTAATGAATTAATAATTGACTTGATTTGTTACACATTACTGTTTCATAAATGGAAATACTGAGCCTTCTGAACACCAGTACATACAATCCAAACAACAGCCCTGCCCTGTGACTCGGAGTGGAGGCTTATGACAGAGGGAGATTTATGAGGTAATATCACACCTTGCAGTGAGTAAGAGTCCTCCGTCCGTCCATCAGCGGGGAGCATAGCGGCAGGCACACTGGCAACCATGGGGTTAATAGCATTGGAGGAGGGAGGGCGCTCCTCGGCCTGGTCATCATACTTGCCCATCAGGGCCTTTCTGATAATGGCCTCCAGGCCTATGGTGTTACCGGACACCTCAGGAGCCGGGTGGCTGCGTATACTCACAGGTCCTGAGAGGCAAGAGGTGGCAAGGGGAAGTTAGAGGGCATTGAGTGAGTAGTGGGAGAGAGCGCGACAGAGAAACATAGATAAATAGAGGAAATTGTAAAATAGAAGATAAATGGAAAAGGGCCAACATGAGAATGAGGAGTGAGGGAGAGAAAAGGAAGGTGGGGACGAGAGAAAGAGAGTGGAACAGCAGAGAGGGGAAGAATAAACCAGTCAGCACATCCTCAGAGAGAGACATGTTGGTTTGCGCTGACGCAGGTTTCAGTCTGTCAGTGGGCATTATGTAGGTTAGGAGTCTCCAGAGGATAGCCACAGGAGGGCGAGGTGGGGGTGATGTACTCTAAATAACATCCAGGATGTAGCTACTGCTCTCTCCAGTCTCCTGTGAGTAGCCTAGCTGATGCACATGCTCTGTAGCCGCAGCCAAAAGCCTAGTTGTGTCAGCTAGGGGCTCATCAGGGGAACGTGGTCGTATGTATACAAACTGGAGGAGAACCTCTCTACTGTACAATACTGATCTATACCACAACAGAGTCACATTACAGCATATCTAGCTAACAGTCTACCAAGCAGAAAAATTACTACTCTAAGCACGTTATACAACAACATTTTGGTTGAGAGTAACAATAATCCCCCTCAAACCACTAATATCCCACGACAATTCCTTGAAATCCTGTATCTTACCTGCAGTGGTAGAGGCAGGCATGTTGAAAATCTCTGTTCCTGGCTGACCAGGATCTGGATGTGGAAACAGAGTATTTTTAGAGCATAGTCTCTTTGTCAATGACTACAGTATCTACAGTACCATTGCTGTATGTGGTCACTGTTGTGGTGGGACTCACTGAAGTCGGCGTCACTGCCGACCACGGTCATCTTCTTGATCATCTCCTGTTTCTTGGACTTGACGATGGCCGAGGTGCTCTCAGTGAGCTTGCTGAAGAAGGCTGGGGGCTGGGAGGTGCTGGGAGGGGAGCGAGAGCCCATGCTGTGGGGAGACGACCACATCTAGTTAGCGTCCGGACAACTACTGTCCTACTGCTTCATACACTACGGCTATTACCCTCCCTTTTTTACCAAGAGTAGTCCAGAGAATGTGGTAACAATGATTTCTAGCTGTGTGAGGAAGGATGGGAGGTAGGGTGAGACCTTACCCCTGCTCGTTGGGGTAGGAGGCCCCTTGTGTCTCTGGTTCAGACATGGCTCCTGCAGGGGACACGGGCTCAATGCCGTCTGTAGACATATTGACAGGTGACACCTTGGGCTGAGGAGGGGACCTGGGAACACACACACACACTAATGAGCCACTGTCATCTAAACAATATTCAATATCAATTCATGTCAGTAATATTCGGTATCTGCATTTCCACATGGGATGAAACGTAGTACATAGAATGCGACACCCATAGGAAGATACAGAGTTGTACTGTATACAGTAGAAAATCTGGGCCTTACCTGTCTCGGGGACGATCCCCTCCGGCTCCCTCTGGAGTGTAGCGAGGCCCCTGGCTGGGCTCCTGGGAGGCAGGTGGGGCCTGGGGGGCGCTGGGGGGCCGGGTCAGGTCCAGGACAGAGTTGTTGTGGTAGGACTGCTGCATAGGGACCTGCTGCTGGGCCTGCTGGCTCTGCCGGGTGTAGTCCTTGGTGATCACCTCCTGTTCCCCACACACATCACAGACACATGTTATCTGCTTCTCATTCCTACAGACTTTGAGAAGAACTGTACGTGAAATCATCTTTAAGATGGTAAATGCAACACTGATATAATATAGTCAAATATATTCCTGTAGTTGTGTGGGGGCTTACACTGATGTGCTGGGCCAGGGTGACCACCCTCTGGCTGCCTTTGACCAGGGGGGACTGGGGCTGCTGGCCCGGGGACAGCCTCTCCTCAGAGGGAGGCCGGTACAGAACGTGCTGCTCCATGGGCATCATCTTCTGTTGAACTGAGGGGTCAGGAAACAGCCCAACACACACACACACACACACACACACGGTGGTGCCCACAAAAGCACACACACACATTATGCAGCACCACCATGTACACACAGAGGAGGGGACAAAGAAGGCGAAAATTCAGTTGCTTGGGTCAGTTTGAATCGAGGCAGCTTACAGGCAGTCTAGAACTACAGTGTACTAGTATTCTCTGTTTCTAAAGTTGAAAAACTGACGAGAGCTTGTTGTAAAATTATAGAATAAACAAACATTTTTTTTTTTTTTTTTTGTCCATTATGTGCACAGCAGACGGTGTGCTCGATAAACATTGCATAAGTGACATCTGCTATGCATAAGAGCTCAACGGTTGTTTCCTGCTACAGAAATCCTCTGTCTCTACAAAGTGTTGTCAGCCAGTGTAGTGTGTTGGATGTGACAAGCTACTTCAGAACACTACGGACTTATTTATATACTGCACTCTCCTCAAAGGAGAGATGCACAAATCACTGACAAGCTTTGCGGTGACATAAAATTATATATATATATATATCATGTATGTGTGTGTGTATGTGTGTGTGTGTGTGTGTGTGTGTGTATATACACTATCAGTCAAAAGTTTGGACACACTTACTCATTCAAGGGTTTTTCCTTATTTGTACTATTTTTTACATTGTAGAATAATAGTGAAAACATCAAAACTATGAAATAACACATGGAATCATGTAGTAACCAAAATAGCCACCCTTTGCCTTGATGACAGCTTTGCACACTCTTGGCATTCTCTCAACCAGCTTCATGAGGTAGTCACCTGGAATGCATTTAAATTACAGGTGTGCCTTCTTAAAAGTGATGGAATGCTGCATCAGATGACCTGGCCTCCACAATCCCTCGACCTCAACCCAATTGAGATGGTTTGGGATGAGTCGGACCGCAGAGTGAAGAAAAAGCAGCCAAAAAGTGCTCAGCATATGTGGGAACTCCTTCAAGACTGTTGGAAAATCATTCCAGGTGAAGCTGGTTGAGAGAATGCCTAGAGTGTGCAAAGCTGTCATCAAGGCAAAGGGTGGCTATTTGAAGAATCTCAAATATAAAATATCCTTTGATTTGTTTAACACTTTTTTGGTTACTACATGATATTTCATAGTTTTGATGTCTTCACTATTATTCTACAATGTAGAAAATAGTAAAAATAAAGAAAAACCCTTGAATGAGTATGTGTGTCCAAACTTTTGACTGGTACTGTATATATACACACACACACATCTCTCTCACAGTATGTTATACCACACTTGGCATGCACACACTTGCCCTATAGGCATGTCATAAATATTGATGAGGCACATAGCTTTACAAGTGGAAAAACAAGAAAACAATAGCACATTTCTAATGATGGAAAAGTCTCAGAGGTTTTGTTGAGAGGTATGCATTGAGACGGTTTGCATGTGGAAAAATCAGCATAAATTACAGTGAGGCGTAATAAGGACATGCAGAGATTTGGGGGCCAGAAGCTACAGCACCCGCCTCCCCCTGGATCTTTTTATGGGTCTCTCCACCACCCGTTACGCCCTCTCCCTGCCCCCCACCTCCACCTGTCTGGATTCCCAGGGAGGTTGTTTGTGTGTATGGTGGCTGGTGTGGCTTTAGGCTCGTGATGCACCCTGGCAGGTTCGCCTGGCCGTTTCCTACTACATGACACACTGGTTTATATTGATAGAGACCGACTGTCACACACACAACCTAAGCTTTCTCTTTTATCATTTAGGTAATTTAGCTAGCAATATCTTGCCTTATTTCTTGCACATTTTAGGTTTTGGGAGGTGAGTATCTGTAAGGAAGGTGTCATTACTAACTATTAATCAAATACTTACCGAATTACTATAATCCTCATAAGCATTCTACCAACATTACATCGATAGATTTATAACGACGCTACTTGATTTAGTTTCTAATATGGAACTCTCGAATACTACCGGTGAACTAAGTCTGCAATATGAGGGGGGAGGGGTGACACATGGTAAAGACAGCCACATCCTCAATAAAAAGGAAATTAAAATAAGCAGCAATGAATGTTACGCTTAAATTTTCCAACCACTGAGCCATCTATGAATGATACCTTAAAAGGGCACCTAGGATCTTTCTCTTCCAGGAAATACCAATTGGGTTGTGTATTTGTACCATAATAATGGTCAATACATAGTCATATAATAAAAATACATAGTCATTTAATAATAAAAATGAGCTGGGTAATTTGATTTAATATTCGGTCCAAGTCAGCTCCAGTTTCGACTTCTTCTCAATGTCAAAACGTGTTAAATAATAATTAGATGGTCACGTTTGGATATTTTATATATATATATATATATATATATAGTTCTCTACATTACACAAAAAAAAATGCAAAAATAGTATAGCGTAAAAACAAAAAAAACATAATGTCAAAATAATTTGGACTGATTTGATAATGCCCAACCACCACAGCGTGCAATAGGCCACAGACGGACGGGGTGAGGGTCTGGGTGATGAGGGGACCCTGGGATCCAGAGCGTCTTACCATCACAGGCGCTGTTGGCCACGAGCGAGCCCGTCTCTGGCATTCCCGTTTCACAAGAAATTTGACGCATGATAATCGCGTTTATGAAGTTGGCCGCAGTCATGGTGGTCTTACCGAGTGCTCGGAGCTCTTGTTCCTGAACGGACATCGGTTTGTTTTGAGTCTTTTCCCTACTAGGCGTGCCACTTTCTCCGCGGCCAGCAGGGTTATCTGACTGGGGGGGCAGCAGGTGAGGGGGTCGCCCTGAGTGGTGAGAGGCTGCAGAGGCCTGGGGGTAGGGGCCGGGGTAACCCCCTTGGTTAGGGCTGGCCAGCTTGGGGTCAGATTTGCTGGAGGATATAGACGGCCCATGTTGGTCTTGGGTGTGTTTGGGAAGGCCTCCCCTACTCTTGCCCCCATCCCGGGACATTTCCTTGGAGTCCATGCTTGGTGGGTAGCCCTCAGGTGGCACCCCGGTCCTCTGGAGGTGGCCGTAGCCTGAGTAGCGATTTGAGCCTGGCATGGACCTGTGAGAGGAAAACAAAATCACTAAAACAGTCAGTAAACAAGCCAACCACAGATGAACCCTCACTACAGTCTGCACATCATATTTAGAAGAACCACAGAAGAAGAAGTGAACCAAGGCACATGCAGTCGGAGATACTTAGCCATTTATCCAACCATGCATGTCACTGTGCAGGTTACCTTAGCACAGAGGGGTTGTTGTGGTCGCTGACAGGCAGACTCTTGCCCCCAGTGTTGTGCAGGACACTGGGCCTCTGCTGGACACTGTCCTGGGTGCGAGGGGACACCGGGGAGTGCTGGTGGCCATAGCCGGAGTGGGAGGAGGGCCTGACACTACCGCCTGAGCTGTGCTCTGTGCCTGAGGGAGGAAACAGATATAATACATTACACACTGCACATAGCTCATATCATCTTTCATCTCATAGAACAACAGCATAGACATCCAACACAGACAATGTGCAGTAAATGCTCTACTATCTAACATAATAGCTTAATAACGTAATAGCAGAAAAACAGACAGGCAGTGAGTGTGTCTATATCTGTACACACCTGGTCTCCAGATGGGGGCATGTTCCACGTTGCCGTGAGAGATACCCTTCTCTCTGTCCCTGTCCCGCTCTCTCTCCCGCTCTCTCTCTCTATCCCGCTGTCTCTCGCGATCCCTCTCTCTCTCCTGTTCCCTGTCCCTCTCGCGGTCTCTCTCCCGGTCTCTTTCTCGCTCGCGGTCAGCAGACGACAGCGTGCCGTGCTGCTTGCTCATGTGTTGGGGCCCAACTACACAGCATAGGAGAGAGACAAACAAAACACAGATGAGTCCGTCACACAGCAACCCATAAACACAGAACGCTGGCTGGTGTGTAGAGTCCAGTCCAGTACCTGGTGAGATGGGAGAGGTGGTGTAGGGCTGGCTGGTGAAGGCTCCTTGGCCCCCAGGGATGTAGGTGATGCGGTCCATTGGGGAGCCGGAAGACCCTGCAGAGGGAGGGACCAGGACAGGTAAGTGTGGCACCTGAGACAGATCGATGATCCCTGGGGACAAGAAGGAACAAAAACACTAGTCAAAACTACAGACTGCGCTACAGCTGGTCCAGCTAGGCTACTTTTTGTGTGTGTTTGTGTGTGTGTGTGTGTGTGTGTGTGTGTGTGTGTGTTTGCACTATGACCAGAGTGAGGCTCACCACGTGGGGCAGCAGAGTAGGGCAGTTGGAGGGGCTGGTCCCGTGGCGAGAGCCCCCTCAGCAGGTCTGAGCGCTGGGCAGCCATGGCGGCGGCTGCAGGCCACTGGTGCATCTGCTGGGAGGTGATGTAGTCGTTGAGCAGCGTCTGGCGGTTCTCAAGGGCCGCCGTGTCGGGGAAGCCCCGGATCAGGTAGGGGTAGGGGTGAGGGTAGCCAGGGTTAGGGGCCAGGTGGCGAGGCAGGTAGTAGGCCGCTAAATGGGGAGGAAGACAAAGAGATCATATAAAGCCATCATATAGTCACATACACCCTTCCCCTAACCACATCCTTCCCCCAACCACAACCCTTCCCCCAACCACACCCTTCCCCCAACCACACCCTTCCCCCAACCACACCCTTCCCCCAATCACACCCTTCCAACAACCACACCCTTCCCCCAACCACACCCTTCCAACAACCACACCCTTCCAACAGACAGAAAGAGTTATTGAAGGAGCTCCTATGTATTGAACTGTACAGTGGACACGAGAATGGTCCAGTCGTCTACTATGTACCTGGGTCGATGGGGATCCCCTGACGCAGGGCAGCAGGGTCAAAGGCCAGGGGGATCTGACCTCGGTACACGTCGGCCCCTAGACCCTGCAGCAGACGCTCGTACGACGCCAGGGACGCCTGTTGTTGGGCCTGTTGTTGGGCCTGCTGCTCGGCAACGCACGGCAGGGGTGACTTGCCGGAGCTCATCTCCCTAGGGGTGGGTGTGGACTTCCGCTCCTGAGGCTGGTTCTTATTGGAGCCTGGACCACACAGAGAGGAGAGATGGGAGAGAGAAGGATGCTTTAGAACACACACACTGTGGGCTTCACATTAGGTATTTTCACACTAGGGGAGATCATTTCAACCCAGGGCGAAAAACAATCAATGCATCACAATCAGACAGGTTCTATGACAGTGTACATTCAGGTGTCAGTATGTGACATACCTTCATGCTGCCGCTGGCCTGACTCTCTGGACAGTGGGGATCCTCTGTGAGAAGGCCCAGGGTAGGGAGCCCTCATGCCGCCCTTGTGTTCCTCGTAGCCCACAGGGCTGTGGTGGGCCTTGCCACCCTGTTCACCCCCCATGGCCAGGGGCGAGGAGCGGGCCATGGAGCTGGCCGTGCTGACCACAGCGCTGGGACGGCCCTTTGGACCTTCGTCGTAGCGGACCCGCTGCTCAGGCCCCCGCATCTCCAGGTGAGGGGGCATGCCATAGTGGGAGCGCGGGGAGCTGGCGATGATGGAGCGAACGTCATGCCCCTTCCTTGAGCCACCCTGCTCCTGCTTCATAGGAGTGCCCTGAAAAAAGGAAACACTGAATATCTCTACCAACAGTGACTTTTCTTGCTTTTATTTCTCTGAGGGAATGTGCACTGACACACAGCGCATCTACAGTGTGGCATTCCACTCACCTGTGCTATGATGCCCTCTTTGCCAGCCTTGGCCATCATCATGCCTTCGGGCATCTGTCGGAGCTCCTCTCTGGGGATGAGGTGGATGGATCGGCCCCCCTCCTTCACGGTGGGCACCTCTCGGCCCTTCATGGGGTCAGCCATCTGGCCAGGCCCTCGGGGCGGGGAGCCCTCTCTCTTCATCTGCTTGGCCTCCCGCCTCATGTAGCCATCCTGGGGGTCCAGGTGACGGGGGATACCTGGGGGGGAGAGGAGGAGGGGTAGAACACAAACACACAGGAGTTAAAATTTGAAGTCACACTGGAACTTTATTGACACTGAACTTCTCTTGAGCGATTGTACAACTAGGCGAGGTGACCATACCCTGATGCAGTATATGGAATAAAAGAGAGTGTCCATTTGCTTACCCTGTGAAATGGAACCACGGATGTGGTGGGTCGGGTGTGGGCTGTCTCTCTCATGGGGCATGGCTCTTCCTATCAGACCTGAAGTATGTACGGGAGTGAAGAAAGAGTAGCATTTGTTACGTCATTGTAGTACTCTAGTCTATGTAAAGTACATACTAGAGCTGTTAAGAGGGTAGTGGACTCCTCAACTTACCCTCACAGTTGGCTGCAGACAGAGAGTCCCTTGTGGGCAGCCCTCTGGAGATCCCTCCCTCCATGACATCATAGGGGCGCTTCAACCCCAAGATCTCCCCAGGCTGGCCCCGGCCGTCCTCTTTAGGGTTCTGAGAGGGTAGGCCTGAGGAGAACACGCCACAAACAACAGTCAACAGAGGAACAAGGAAATTCCACAGAGAAATTCCAAGGATCAGAGGGCATTGAGAGGTGGCTTTAACTCTTCAAGACTAAAAGCGATGCCTCTGTTCCTGTTGTTATGTAAGTGAAATAGCAGTGTTTCTAGAAGGATAGAGTACTGACGGTCATAGGTGAGGATGTGTCCGCTGATGCCCTCATAGACCACATGTCCTTTGGACAGGGCCTCGTCCCGCTCCCTCTCTGCCCTGCTGGGGCTGTCCTCCGTGATCAGACGGGTTATGGTCCCCTTGTACAGCACGTCTGCCGGGGTGCCCTGTGGAGGGAGGGACACAACAGTCAATCATCCCACAAGATACAGCAGATATCAGTTTAACCATTTAATTGCTTGTTGTTGTAAGATGCATATTTGTCCTGAATGTTCTTTTTTATTGTGACAGCTCTGATGATTAAGATCATACATCGCGCACTGGTGCCAATCGGAGAATTGTGTGAAAATGTTAGTTATGATTCAACCACCACAGAGCTCTATGTCCCTACTGCTGTTGCAACAAAGCCCACACACTAAACAAATTGAATTGCTCACTACTATCCCAGCGGAAGCGTAGTCACATAAGAATAAAATGTGTGTCTCAGACAATAACCCCCACACACACTCTGCAGTGCTAACACCAGGTGTCCCTCCAAGCTACCTTAAAATGAATGCACTAACTGTAAGTCGCTCCGCTAAATGACGGGAATAGTGACGGTCAGGGGCCAGACAATAAGTGTAGGGGTGTGGGGGGGAGGGGGGGGGGTTAGGGGGGCTCGTCTTACAGGATCGAGTGGCCTTGACACACACAAACACCCTTCCTATCTCCCTTATCTACCCTCCCTAATCTACCCTCAGCATCCAATGTCATCAAGGGAGATGCGAGAGACTTACGCACCCGATGCCACAAAGCTTATCTGTACACACACACACACCTCATTGACAGATAGGCTTTCGCTCTGCCTAGCTGTCTGCTAGACAAACAAAGAAGGAGCCGTGTGACATCCCCACACACTCTGATTATGTACGACCTCTCACCTTTCCCTCAGTTATCTATCTGGGCATATATAATCTCATCCCATTTCCAGGCCAGTTGGCTGAGGGAGATATTACATCAGGCTGAGGTCTGTGCGTATCAGTGACGGGGCTTAGTGAGTGGAGAGAGTAAACAGATAAATCAAGTAGGGAACAGACGTGGTACAGTGTGTACCTGTTGCTAGGGCGACAGGGAGCAGTCAGAGCCACAGTTATGCCACACCAGTCAGGATCAGCAGGGAGATCCTGCCTGCCGGTTGCCCCAGCCCCAGCCTTTACCCTGCCTGAGCTTGACTAACTTTCCAGCCTGGGCTCATGACCTCTCAACACGCCTGTGTCGTTGTCCTTGTTTAATTTGGAGACGTACAATAAACAGTCCAGTGAGACTTTTAGGTCAAAGCTGATAAAGTCATAATAATAAGTACGCCCAGTTAGCAGAAGCACATTGTAGTGTTGAGGTCAGTGTGTTGCTCTTACCTGGGTGATGGAGCCTCCTCGGTAGGAGATGGGGGAGTCCTGGTGCACTCTGGTCCCTGGGATGCCCTTGGTGATGCTGCCCCCCTGCACCGCTGGCATGGACCCTGCAAATTCAACACATCCAGGAGAACAGAGTCAGGGCTTTACACTGTCATGGAGGTCTGTTTATGCACCAATAACAGAGAAGAGAATCAGTATAAGCAGAGAACAGTGTACCAACAGAGGGGTGTGTAGTGTATCTAGCTGTGAACTCACCACGTCCAGCGTTGGTGTCGTGGGGCGCCCCCTGCGTGGACAGGTTCTCTGCCTGGGAGGACGAGCACCGCGGGGACAGCTGCTCCTGCTTCACTACAGGGTAGGGACCTGGTGTGTGCGAGTCAGAGAGGGACAGCGTGAGACAAGAGCAGAGAGGAGAGAGAGTGTCAGTGCAGAACGCCCAGGACACCCACACTGAGAATGGAAGGTTAGGACAAGAAGAGGGCAACTCACCAGCAAACCAAGGCTGGGAATGCTGCACCCACTCCAGACACTTGGACTCACCCACTTTCCTCTGATCCATCCAGGACAAACCCATCTGTGCAGGGGGCATCTTCCCGTGGTCCATCCCATGAGCCGGGCTATGCAGCTGCACTGGGGTGCCCTGCGAACCACACAACAACAACAGTGAGCATGGTGCATGGCAACACTCAATTCACTTTCCCAATAACTTCTAATGGGTGCCATGGTTCTCTGGAGTAACGTTAGTGTATTGTACCTGTGTGATAGACCCCCCTGGCTTGTTGGAGGAGATGAGAGGGGGTGGCTCTGGCATGTGGAGGGGGCGCACTGCTGCCAACCTGGCGCCATCCTGCTGCAGACCAGGGGGCCCAGAGTGGCCAACCTGCTGGAAAGCTGAGATCACAGAGAGACAGATTATTTTATATGGATACACATCTAGACAGGGCAGGATAGGAAAGGAGAGTAAGAGAGGGTTGGCTAAGGATAGCACAAAGCAAGGAGGCATAACAGTGAAATGGGAGCTGACATGAACTACAGGGGATGATGGGCCTGATGATGGGGAAATAGCAGGGATGAGAGTTTGACTCAAGGGAATAATATTTTAATATTATAACAATATTATTACTTTTATTTAAAATCAGGGTAGCCCATTGAGACCAGGGTTTCATTTTCAATGGTGCCCTGAAGACAATAAATTCAAAAAGTATGATAGGGGAGCCCTGGGGGTTAGAGAGGGGTTGTAGTGGGACTCACAGGAGTTATAGTGAAGCAGGTGCTGGTCGTGGCTGAGCTTGGCCATGTCTCGAGGGGACATTGGGTAGGGGGACATGACAGGCCGGCCCAGGGTAGTGGCCCTCAGGTCCTCTGGCCCCACCGCCTGCTTCTTGGGGTCCCCGTGAGGAGAGAAGGCCCGGGATTTATCTGTAAGACGGGACACACAAACACACACTCGGTAAGGGCCAGGATTGGCTAGTTGCTAACACCTTCTGGAAGCCGAGAGCCATCCCTTGGCCAGCACTAGCTTGTTATGCTCCTTCTCATCATCATAGCAAGGAGCGCAGCCAGCCACACATCAACGCTGCTCCACACAGCCATCCCTTGTGTTTAGAGAACAAACACAATGCCAAACCCATTGCTAGTGTTTAGTGTACACACACAGTCAAAAACCGCTAAGGAAGTGAATTTAGCTAGGCGTGTGTTGGTCGAAGGGGTATGAGTTAGGGATAGAGCAGGGTGGGGTGGGGCGGGGTGTGAACCTACGTAATCCGTGAAGTAGAGTCTGCAGCCACCTCTCGTTGCCTTCCAGCTCTGCAGGGACACAGACACACTGCAGCTGATCACATACCCGGTACTCACATCATCACACTCATACATACACTCACACATGTCCATGTGACTCGAATCCCTACACACATGGCTACCTCCTCAGTTTATTGTAATGTGACTCACACAGCACATCATCCCCCTTGCCACTGGGCTGTGTTTTCTCTAGGGTTAATAACAATAGGAGATCCTCCAGTAGTTACATAGCCCCGGTCCCTGGGTTACATCGGCTTGTAAAAGGGCCCCAAGATGGAAACTCTTCAGTTCATCTTGTGTCAACATCTTCTAAATAAGACTAGGTCTAGCAATTCACAACTCTCAAAGGATATCCAAGACAACCCAACACAGATCCCACTGCATGGGGATACCTGACTGAGCCCAAAGATCAATACCAGCAATACACAAAACAGTGTAGAACTGACATAGTCCCCTCAAGTCAACATGTAGCCTAATAATCTAGAGCCACCTGGAGATTATAAACAATAGCACCAAGTACACAATTACAATTTAAATAGGAGGGAGATGTGTTTAGACTGAGCAGAAGGATTAGAGGAGCTGGAGAGAGCGAGAGAGAGGGCTGGTGTTCATACCGTCCTTGTCGCTGGTGGAGGGGCTGCGTGGGCGGATGCGGGGGCTGCTGATGTTGTGGGGGTCTCTGTCTCCCTGTGCTGGGTAGGGGTGCTGTTTGCTGGGCTGACCTGCATGCTGCTGCTGCTTGGCCTCCTGGGAGGACTCTCCGTGGGCCATGGTGATCTGCTGCTGGTAGAGAGCCAGGGCATGGGGGGGCAGCACGGCCTTACCACCCCCACCCCGTGGACCACCCTCCGGCATCTGGGGCATCTGCACACACAAGAGAGAGATGCATGGTGAGCAACTGATACACATTGAATGACCCTGTTCCTCTTATTCTTTTCCTTAATGCCTGGCATCTTATTCCTCCTCTGGGTCAATCTATCCCATCTGCTCCAGATGGCCTGCTTATCTAATACAAATATGTCTTTATCATTTTACCCACCATGTTGTTATCTGTGGAAGCAGCAATATTGTCATTACAGGAGGGATGGCCTTAATACTACAGACAGGGGGTAGAATGACCAGACTGGACTTATCTAAGGATTTATATGTGACCGTATACCTGGCTGGCTCTCATCCGCTCTCCAAGGATGGAGACGACTAAGATGCAGGTTGCAGCCCTGGTGACATTGTGTAAAGAGACGAGGGGTTAAATGGTAAGACTCACAATAGGGGGGATGGCTGCAGCCCTCTGTTTGAGCTGTTTCAGGTCCATGGGCTTCTGCAGGGGGGAGGAGATGACTCCATCATGAGCATAGTTTAGCAGGCTGGGACGGCTTGGGGACGTCAATCTTGAGAGAGAGAGAGACAGAGGGAGGGAAGGCAGGGGAGGAGGAAGAAGGAAAGAGAGAGAGAGCGAAGGGGAGGAGCAGGGAGGGAGGAAAGAGGGAGAGAAAGAATGAGGGAGAAAGAGTGAGGAAGAGAGAGAGTGAGAGAGAAAGAATGAGACGGAGAGAGAGGTAACTAGAACACACTTTCCCATTCAGTAGTCTGCCAATGGATGTACCACACATTCCTTAATATGGCCATAGCCGGGTTTCTCTTATTTACTTTTCCCATAAACACGGATTGACCCTGAGCAGAACCTCGCACTATGAAAACACAAAGAGAGCAGAGGTTCTGACTGCGTTTCCGTCCCACATACCCAACCACCCATCCCCTACTCGCAGATACACACATAGAAACACACACAGATACTCTGGAACACACACGAACACCCCCCCCCCCCCCCCCCCACCCCCCCCCCCCCCCCCCCCACACACACACACACACACAATGAGAGAAACTGGGGCGCACACACACACACGCACTCCCTCCCATTGTTTGCTTTGGCATAGAGGGCAACGTTCCCCTAGGCTCTGCCAATACATGCAGTCTGCTGTCATGGAAAAAACTGAACAAATACCCTGCAAATACACTGCAGGACGAATCACCACTCCCGTCAGCCCACATCTTTGACACACACATTGCGTCTGCAGGCACGCACACACTCACACAGAAGCACACACACACACACACACACACATATTAGAACTGGGACAATAAACCAAAAATGATCAACACCGACCGAACTGACCATTTAGAGGACATTTTACTGATATAGATAATGACGGTAAATTGCCTATACTGTAAAAATGTGAAGTTTGAATGTGAAGAGAAATGTGAAATCTGTGAATATAGGCGATTGCTAACGGGTCAATTGAGCTACAGCATTCAAACTAGTAGTAGTGGTTTTAAGGGTAATACACTGAACAAAAATATAAACGCAACATGGAAAGTGTTGGTCCCATGTTTCATGAGCTGAAATAAAAGATCCCAGAAATGTTCCATATGCACAAAAAGCTTACTTCTCTCAAATGAGGTGCACAAATGTGTTTACATCCCTGTTAGTGAGCATTTGTCCTTTGCCAAAATAATTCATCCACACGACAGATGTGGCATATCAAGAAGCTGATTAAACAGCATGATCATTACACAGGTGCTCCTTCTGCCGGGGACAATAAAATGCCACTCTAAAATGTGCAGTTTTGTCACACAACAATGCCACAGATGTCTCAAGTTTTGAGGGAGCGTGCAATTGGCATGCTGACTGCAGGAATGTCAACCAGAGCTGTTTCCAGAGTATTGAATGTTCTGAAACAAAGCTGAAAATGTTCCAGCTCTTCCAAGGCCTGCATACTCACTAGACATTTCACCCATTGAGCATGTTTGGGATGGTCTGGATCAATACAACCCCTCCACCCAGCCCCGAGCCCCTACCTGCAACTCCTCCACCCAGCCCTGAGCCCCCACCTGCAACTCCTCCAACCAGCCCTAACCCCCACCTGCAACTCCTCCAACCAGCCCTAAGCCTCCACCTGCAACCCCTCCACCCAGCCCCGAGACCCCACCTGCAACCCTTCCACCCAGCCCTAAGCCCCCACCTGCAACCCCTCCACACAGCCCTGAGCCCCCACCTGTTCTTCTCGGTGTTCTCTGACTCCTCCACCTCGTCAGCGCTGCAGGTGGCGCTAGAGTCACTGTCTGCGTGGGAGCCCGTCTTGGGCTCGTGGTCCCTCTTGGAGCTCTTGGAAGAGCTCTTGCCCTCCTCTGCCTCTGCAGTGGGGGGCTTCCGGTCTCGGTCTGTGGATTCACTGGGCAGCTCCTTGCTACCCTCCCCTGCCTCAGTCTTCACCTCCTGCTTGATGGCTTTGTCCCCATCTCCCGGGGGCTTTTCATCTCCTCCCTGGACCATGTGGGAGCCTGAGGCCTCCTTGTCCTCAGGGTTGGAGCCAGCCTTGGCCCTACCGCCACCCTCCTCTTTAGCCTTGCTGTCCTCAGAGCGCGGAGAGGGCAGGCTCTCTGTGTCCGAGCTGTTGTTAGCACCACCTGGTACAGGAGAGAGAGAAGGAGAGACAGAGAGACAGCAAGAGAAAGCGAGAGAGAGCAAGAGCGACAAAGGGAAGACAGCATATCTTTTATGGGCTGCCTGGCTGGGTAGTAACCTACAGTAAATCATGTTACATCCTCTTGTCCTCTTTCACTTCGATCCCTCTCTCCATCTCCCCCTCTCTGGTGCCCCTTCTTTCTCTGAAACCAGATTTATCAAGTGCCACTTTTACACCTAATCAGGTTTCACTGTACAATGAGGGAGAACAGAAAACCAATTGTGATGATGGAGGAAAACCCCTGGGGCTTCCCAGCTCTATTGTGGTAACAGACTATAGGTGATGGTGTATCAACAAACTACTACTGTACATTATTCCCAGGGGTCTATTCTGTTCTCCATGGTTACGAGAATGACGAGCCATAACAGTAAACAGTATTGTGAATTTGGTCTAAAGTGAGTTGACGGTCCATTATCAACCCAGGGTATTTAAATGAGTTGACCAATAATATGAGTTATCAGACAGGGTACAAAATAAGATTCTATAATTTACAAAAACTCAGATTTCGCTAGGTAGACCGCTTCTGTAAATGTTTTCTACAGAGCAAACAACTATTTAAATAATGTATCTAATTCATGTCTTAACTATATGCTTCTAATTCCCATACGTGGTCAGAACCTCATATTTTGATGATTGAAGTCTTTCTATTCTCAGAATCACATCCAATTCCATGTTCTACACAGACATTCTTGTGATGCTGTTATAAGTCCATATTGCACTTAATTACCTTCAAATTGATTGAAAATGGTTTCATAAACTAGTCTTAACATAAAGTGTTCATGGCTGTTTTCTGATCAGTCCATGTGAATGAGTGATTGCGAGTTTGCGTATGCTGACAGTGCTTATAGACGGTTAGTATACTGACAATGGGGTCCCTGTGCTCTCTGACGTTGATTATTGTAGTGTGTGTGTGCGTGTGTTCCTACCTTCTCCATCCTCGGGGGCCTCCTCCTCGTTGCCGCTGGCCCCGGAGCCCTCCATCTCCTCTTCCTCGGCAGCAGACGGGGCGCTGGCCTCTTCACTTTGTAGGGCTTTGCCTTTACGACGCGCCTTACGCTCTCTCTCCTGGGTGAAAACCAACACACACTAAATACCGCAGCCTGGGAAGAACACACTGATAACCACAAGGTAAATGTGCCTACTGCTGTCTGGCACTCAGAGAAACTGCCTGCTTGGTGCTTTACTTAGCTCAGACTATAGGTTCTCTTTCAAGTTGATCATTTAACTCAGGGATGGGCGACTATGATTGGTGTGGGGGCCAGAATAAATTGGAACTCATCATGAGGGGCAGCAGTTGCTCGCGGGTCTCATCCACATTGCGAGCCAAACATTTTAGTGTCCCCCCTCTTGAAAGCGGAGATTAAAAAAAATACATTTTTCAATTCTGAAACCGTGAAATGCTTCTTTACGAGTCCTTTCCCAAATATTCGACGATAACAAGTTTAGATAGCTGGCCGCTAATCTAATTTAGAAATCTAAAACAATTTAGCTGACATGGGCTAATTGACTGACTATCAGTGACTGACATAACAAGAGAAAAACTGCTGATGCCCAACCCAATTTCTAAATTTCACCTTGTATATTCTACTATTCTAACTCATAACAGTTCCCTAAAAATAAAATAAAAATACATTGTATTTTTGGGGGGAAATTGATCCGAGGGCCTTCAAAACGTTGCCATTCCTTGATATAAGTGTTCTAGAATGAAAGACAAGACATTACCGATTTCATTTTATGCTGCTGCAGAATCTCATCCAGTTTCTGCCTTTTCTTGTAGTTGAAGTAGAAGTTCTTGCACTGTGACACAGTTTTGGAGCCCACCATCTTGGCGATGGCCGACCAATTCCTACCATACTGGAGAAGACCTGGAATTAACATGGATGGGGATTAGACTACAGCACAGGCAGACAACCAAAGACTTTCGTTACATAGAATAATAATTTACATCCAATTAATTACATGAAGAATGTCAATAAACATCTGTCCGTCGAGTCCGAGATCTTATCCCTCTCCAGCTCAATTTTGTCAAACTGCATAATCATACCAATCCAAAATGAACAGACAGACACTAATACTCAGCAGTGTGGCTCAGTGCCATGTGCTGTTCTTAGCTGAACCTGTCCTGTCAATCTAACTAATGACATCACTAATTGTCACCACTGGGCTGGGGTCATTCTCTGTCACATTATGTGAAACTTTGAAGTCACCCAGTTCTAGGAAAGACTGGTCCTTTACCCAGTTAACCACATGATAGCGTCTTACACAAGAGTCTGGAAGCCCTGCTGGGCCCAGAGCTGCCTGGGATAGATCAACCTGTCATGGGACACACCACTCCTGCTGCTGCTGGTGTGTGTGTGTGTGTGTGTGTGTGTGTGTGTGTGTGTGTGTGTGTGTGTGTGTGTGTGTGAGAGAGAGAGATAGAGAGAGACTGTGAGCAAGAAAAAGAGAGAGAGAGAAAGAGCGTGTTCGAGTTGACTGCATCCGTGATGCATTGTGGATAAATTATGACTGACTGATCTACAAATAACAATGAGTAGTTATTTATGATGCAAGGTGATTTGTAGATCAGTCAGTCGGCAGTCACCTGCAACGGCAGCTGCAATGTTGAACAAGCCCAATGTGTGTGTTTCAGAGTCTCCAGTAAGCTAAGGACAGCTCATTAACCGTAGGAGCTGTAAGGAGCTTACACCGCCCACTCGTTTCCTGTGCCAGCCTGACAGCTTCTGGCATGAGGACAGACTCATGGGCCAGGTTGCGGTCCGTTATCAGTGAACATGGACCCAACAACCTCCTGGGACGACAACCTTGGGACGTAGGTTCATAGGTCCCAAGATATCACCTCCAAATGGATGCAGTGGGACAACAATCTAAAAACAACCACACGATAAGTCTTTACAAAACACCCAGCCTGCAGCTCCTATCTCATATCCATCTTTAATTTATTTACCCAACTAAAGGTTACTACAGATTAGATATAGCACCTAAACCACAAGTGTAGCAAATACAGATTACAACACCCTCCGGAAATATGAGCAATAATAACACTTCATGGAATAGAAAGTAGAAAGTGTGAGCATGTTACCATGAGATTACCCATATACACGCAAACATGGCCTCAGTCCAAGTCTTGGCTGTCATATTCCCTCTCAGGACCTTTGTGCGTGTACAACCCGTCAAGTGTTAAAAAATAAACTGGGTATTTCATTTGAAATATTCATTACAGGCATGAAAGGCAGAGCAGGAGAAATGTGAGAGAAGGAGAGAGAGAAAGGGACAGAGCCGGTCGGCCGGGCTCATTTCAAGAGAGAGAGGAACACGTGATTAACATCTATTAACCTTTTACAGCCTTCTCCTGAGGGGGAGGGAGACAGCCCAGAGCATACAAGTCCAGCCAGACACCCTGCTACGTGTCACACCACACACACATACTCACATACACGCACACACGCAGACACTTTGCTCTACCCTGTGAACCTGAAGCAATAACACTGCAATTCATTCACTGAAAGTCAAGGGTCACTTTGTTACGACTCCCTCTCACAGATCCAGTCCATTCAGTTTAACCAGAGCACAGGAACAATCCCAAGCAGCTCTAGATCCATTAGCCTCCGGTCCCGGCCGGTGGAGCAACACATAAGATTAAGCAGTATCCCAATAATCAGCTGCTGCTCAACTAGAGCAGGTGGCAAACTCCCTCAACCAATCATGACCATCCATTTCCTTAAACTCCTCCCACCTACGGCCCAATCAACACCTAGCCTGGGCCGGGGAGTGAGTGTCCCCATTCTCACGTGCCTGTCACTCCAACCGTCCCTTGTGTCCCTGGTCTGTATCACGCTATCGGCCGTCTGATCTCCGTGAAGGCAGGCAGGGATGGAGCCTGTCCAGGCTGGGCTTCCCGGTGACTCCACTCCGGAGAGGCAGAGAAAGAAAACAGCTAGGCTACAGCTCAGCCTCCACACCCCTCCTCCTGCTGGCCTGATACTGGAGCCGGTGTCAGGTTGACATACTCCAAACAGCACATACTCCGCTCCCTGCCTCTCCCTCGCTTTTTCTTTGATCGCCCTTTGTCCCCCCACACGCTCTCTCTGTCAGGACTAGTCTGTTGCTCTCAGCCGTGTCTTTCCCCAATGGCTGCCGTCTGGGAGGACTTTCAGAGGAAAGTGGGACTGTGGGGCGGTGCTACGTGCTCAGCCTCTCTCCCCCCTCATCTGATCTCTCCTCCATCTCTCCCTGTTTACCCCCTCACTCACCCCCCCTCCCACTCATTCAGCAAGCAGGCAGCGCTGCACACACAGACATCCACATAAACACACACACAAACGCATGCACTAGTACACATTCACTCAACCTCTCTCTCGCCCTCGTCCTCTCTCTCTCCCTCTCACTAACCCAGCTAGTCCGAGGGTAAACAGAGAAGAGAGAGAGGGAGTGCGCAAAAGAGAACAGGGGAATTGAGCTAGAGGGACAATGGAGGAAAGGAAGAGAAAGAGGGAGTTGATGATCCCATGAGAAAGCATAAAGGGTTTCACATTTTTCCTGACTGACCTGCTTTTCATCTTGAATGTGACCCCTCTCCAGTCTATAACAACACCGAGACGGGGAGAGAGCAAAAATAATAAAAAGAGAGTGGGGGAGAGCGAAAATAAAAAAGAGTGGGGGAGAGAGGGAGAGATGCTTCTTCCACAGCTACTGCCAATCAGGGCCTTTGCCATTTCCCATCTCAGCATACACTGACTGGGAGCCCAGAGGAGAGAAGAGGAAGAGAAAGAGAGAGAGCGAGAGAGCGAGAGAGAGAGCGAGAGAGCGAGAGAGAGCGAGAGAGAGAGAGCGAGCGAGAGAGAGAGAGCGAGAGAGAGAGTGAAGGAGTAAAGGAGTGAGAGAATGAGAGGAGAGGAAGGGGGGAGAATCCTGTGGCCTGATCCACTCCAACAGCACAGAAGAACACAGAGAGCCAGCTCTACCTGCTGCTCCTTTAAATGGACCTGTACAGTACTGTACACTACAGCAGGCGTGGTGGGAGGGAGGGAGACGATTATCCAGCTGCCTGGCTGACTCACTGTGCCCAAGCAAAGCCCGCCAGATTAGAGCACTTACATAAATGCTAGCCAAGGAGCACACACACACAGCTCTTATCGCTGAGCACTCCTGCTCTGCTCCCCCCACAGCCTACCTTAACTACACACACACAAGCACACAGGGATATACAGAGAAGAAAGACACAAGACGTTATCCCTTGTTAAAGATGCCAGGCTTTATGACCAGAGAACACAGTGGTAATCCATCAGAGTGCGGCCATGGCGAAATGTTGATCGCCTGACAGGTGCTATAAATGCCATTATCTTTTTAGCAAGATGGGATAAACACATTAGCATGAGGAGGTGTAAGCCTTTTTAAAACATATACAGGTCAAGCTCCTGGAAGTGGTATGTGCATCTTGACTGCCGAGCTGGCAGAGTACTCAGGCCAGGGTTAGGGGAGCGGGGCTGGGGACAGGTGGGCTACTGGGCTAGCCTACATGAGGAGCCATGGAGGGGGAAGCCCTTTTTGGCAGGCATGGGTATCACTCATGGTTACTGGCAGATGAGAAATGGCGGGCAGAGGGAGGGGAGGCAATACACCCCCCCCAGATTGGGGCCCTGTGGTTGTGGTTATATAAGCCCTCATAGAAGCCCAGCTCCCACCGGGCTGCAGGACTAATCCCCTGGGATGGAGCAGCCCACTAATCCAACTGCAGGAGAATGGAGTTGAAGACATTAACCAGGATTACTACGCAGGGCCATGTTCCAAGGGCCAGCGCCAGTCATCACAACAGCCCCCCGAGACTGAGTCTGCAGCAGGAGATATATCACCCAGTACAAGACTGACAGACAGACAGGGTATCTGCTGTAACAGACTTCTGCCTTCACTAGCACATTCATGGTGATACAGGAACTTTCTGATTAAAATCAGGATTACACAACAGATAGGCTACTGTTCTGCTAGATTAGAAGACCGGTATTAGTCATTAACAGAACTGAAAATCATAAGAGAATCTATGCCCCTTCATCGAAACATGGCCACAAAACAAGAACTAAGGCTCACAGAGAAACCACATTTTGTCAGCTATGCAAACGGTACCCGAGGTTACAAACAATCATTTTCACACCCAAACATGAAATAGACAAGAGCACTCATTTATATCTTCTTATCTTTCCATTATAATAACAAGTACAGCACAGTGGTCTAGCATTGGCTGGTCATAGCATTTCAAGCAACGATCTCAAAAACACATAACACAAGCAAAGTGAAAATATCCACTAGACATATACAATGTCTCTAATAGGCTTAAATACTCAGAGAAAATCCCAAACATTTGAAAAATTGGAAAGATCAACAAATCCTGTGTAATACACCAAATGGAAATCCCTCTCCAGAAGGGGGTCACTGGCAGAAACGGAAAGGTCTGCCCCATCACTGACTAGGCTGTAGACTGAGCTGTGAGCAGTGCATGCAACACAACGCCAACTGTGCTACAGCAAACAGACAGGCAAAACCCACGGTCGTCTTCGGTCTGCAGGACCCACAGTTGGAAAACCGCCCAGGCGTGGCCAGCTTAATCTTCAGTCAAAGACAAACAGGCCATGTTAAAGAGTTAACCAACTCCTGCAGTTGAATCTGTTTTAGCCAGGGACAAGAGGGTGGGACTTTTACAGCAGGCTTCATAAACGGCCATGGCAGGAGTGTAGGACACGGCCCTGAGTCAGGCAGCGGAGCAGCAGAGTGGAGCCCCACACAGCGCTGCAGACAGACAGGACCCAGCAGCACGTGGCAGCAGCCTAGCCTATCTCACAGGAAGTCACAGGCATTTGTCACCGCTTTCGGAAAGAAAACACAGCCAAGCCTACGGGTGGCTTTGTCTTTGACAAGGAACATTTTCTTTTGAATGAATGGAGCTGCTGGGTTGTATTTCACACACAGAGGTAATTCGTTTTTTGGTTTAGTTTTTTACCTTTTTTGGCGGTTTCCATCTCCTCTTCAGTCCAGCGAGAGCTCTCATTCATCTCCAGATTGGCTGAAAGGAAAAAAGCAGAAGCACCACGTTAGAGAGCGGGGCGGGCAGGAGGGGGAGGGGAGGATCCAACACACAGAGAGAGAGAGAGAGAGAGAGAGAGAGAGATAGTGACTGAGAAAGAGAGGGAGAGGCAGAGTGCGAGAGAGAGAAGAAAGCTAGGGGGCAGGGTTGCCTTTGCTCCTTGCTGGTGCAGCACGGTAGAGCCGGTCAACAGGGGTTGTTTGTTTAAGAGGTAGGAAGCAGGAAGCCCAGGAGAAAGTCAGTTAATGATTATAGACATAAGAGGCTGTTCTCCCTGTCTAAGGTAGAGGCCAGCCTTACCCTGGCAGAGTAGAAGATGAGAAAGCGCGGAGAACAGAGAAGAGCTGCAGTTCCTGTGCTGTTGTGTCCTCTCAGTAAGGCTGTGGAGGGCACAGTAACAGCAGGCGAGGTGGGGAAGGGGAACAAGCCCAGTAACACTGAGGAAATTAGAGTGACCTGAGCTGCTGATCAGAACAGAGCCCCTCTGGCTGTCTCAGACTACCTGGAGATTCCCTGGGACTAACCCACAGCAGAAGAAACAACCAACTAAAGTGCTGAAACATCAAAACTCTGATCGCCTGCAGCTACAGTGTGTGTGTGTGTGTGTGTGTGTGTGTGTGTGTGTGTGTGTGTGTGTGTGTGTGTGTGTGTGTGTGTGTGTGTAATGGCAGCCTTGCCAACTGCAGAGGGAATAAAAACTGAGGCAGGAGTATTGCTGACTTAATGGATATTTTGTCATTAAGTATTATTCTTATGACCATTATCATTGTGTTTTGGTGCATGTGTTTAAAAGAGTTTTGAGAAAGAGAGCCACAGTGCACCCTTGTGGTGTGGGATATAACAAGGGTATTAAGCACACAGCAATGAGAGCAGACCAGACTGACAGACAGACAGACTGTAGGATGATGGGAGGGCTGTTCGATAGGAGGGCTGTTCTAGAGCCAGCAGGTATAAAACCATCCACACTCTGTGTTCACATGCTCAGTTTCAATTAAATCAGGTGGACCTACTAAACAGATGCGCTTCAGCAGTATCCTGGCCAAATGTTTAATTCAAACACCTCCAATCTGGCCAAAATATAGCCATTCAATATTTCCCAGAGAGATCCTGTCTCTTCGGTTTATGAGGTGTGTAGCTAATAACAGCATAGTGATGAAACTCTTTGCAGGTGAAAACAGCAGCGTGTGTTAAAGAGCGTGAACACGCCGTTAAAGACATCAGGCAGCAGTGTAGACGATAGCAGTAGAGTGAGACGTACCGAGTTCGCTGCTGAGTGGCGGTGTGGCGGTCTCCTCCACCTCGCTGGTCATGGAGCGGGTGATGCGGCCCTTGCGGCGGCCCTGGCTGTTGGCCGTGCGTCGACCCTTGAAAGCCACCGTGGGCTCTTTGTCCTCCCCGTCCTCGCCAGAGGTGTCGTCCCTGCAGGGAGAACGTGTCAGTCACAGTCAGTCACACCACCAGCACCCTCCTCTTCCTCACTGCCTGGGCTGTATAGCACGTGTACTGTTGAGTTTGTTAACTTAAAACCTGACAAAAAGTGCAGAGGTTTATGGGTAAAAAAATGTACGCACACATTCACTCACAAATGACTCGAGGCTCAGGAGAGAGTCGTTTTAAGTTTCGCAAGCAAGGCAATATATCCCATCAGTGTCATGACAGGCCAGGGATTTTGTAGCCAGTGTTCTTCAATTCATTTCCCCCTGGTCCGGCATCATTCATCTTCTAGAGGGGACCTGCCCTGCTGCCTGGCACACTAAATATAGAAGTGCCAGCTGTGCCAACCGGGGTGTTGTGGGAGTCAGGGACTCCCCTCCCTGCTCTCCTCAGCCCAGGTACTGGAAGCATTGCAGATGCTTAATCATGATCAACAACACTGTCAGGCAGGCACGGCAACACTTGTTCAATGTTGTATCAGTCAGTAGCACTGAACAACAACCTATCCAACCCCATTTCCATTCAGAGAGCTGGGGGCTTAGCTACGCTAGAAGATTGGACATGATGGTAGAACTCCATCCTTCACTGTTCTTCCCTGTGAAACATGTGAGTCAACAACACACTGCAGTGAGTGAGTGAGTGCTCCATCTGTTCCGCTGCTCTGCTCACACAGATTGCAGTGTTCAGAAGCATTGACTGATTTCACCCTCCTCCTCTCCTTCACACTGGCACTGTCCCTATGGAGATGCCAGGGCAAGGCAGTGTCCTGCACAGCACACACTCTCACTGTGTAGGAGTGACTCCAAGCTCAGGAGACTAGCTGGATTATTGGAGCAACAGACAGTACAGTAATGGTGTTTTAACCATGCCACTTTTACCCCCATCAGAAAAAGAAAGAAAATAAGTAAGGAATCTTACAAATGTGACTTTAAGTAGCCTCTTGGGAGTTAGAGAAGAAAAACAGGAAAACAGCCGTTTTTTAAAAGGGGGAAAATACAGATGTTTCACTGGATGGAAATTCTGGGTGAAGGTGGAGGAGTAACTAGTCAGGGTTGAAAAAAGCTCCATCTGATGATTACCTTTCCAGATCTAGTCAGGGCAGCCAAATCTAACTCCCACTCCATTTCCAATGAACTGACCTGGACCAATTCGGACATGATTTAGTGCAGGGGTGTCATGATTTAGTGCGGGGGGGGGGGGGGGGGGGGGGGGGGGGGGGGTGAACTGAATATACTTTAAAATGACTAAAACCAAATCAAAACTGTGTAGAAATGATAATGGACCTACATTTATACAGTTTCTTGACTGTGTCCAGCTCGCTAATAGTCACCGAAATGAAAGCTAGACAGTCAGGGAGCTATTTTCTGCTAATTTCGACAGCAAGTAAATATAACACATTTTCAGTGCGTTGAAGACCGAATGCGGCCCACTGGGCAAAATGAGTTTGACACCCCTGATTTAGAGCGAGAGAAGGCAAGCAGACTCACTTCATTACATCCTCCTTGTCTTCCCCCTCAGTCTTCTCCTCATCCCTCTCTCCGTCCTTCTCCTTCTCTTTCTCCTTCTCCTTCTCCTTCTCCTTCTCCTTCTCCTCCTTCTCCTTCTCCTTCTCCTCCTGGCTGCTGCGGTTCACCTGTGGTTGTTGCTGCTGCTGCTGCTGCTGGCCATGCTGTTGGGGTGGCAACACACTTAGTTTGTCACAAACATGATCCCTGGTGACTTACGGATATGTAAACACATGTAAAACATGTATAAGAACCTATATAGAAACACAAAAACAGATACATGAGCCGTGTAGTATGTGTTGAGGTCATTCTGCCATGCATGCCAGTAGGTACACCACACAAACAGCCCATATGCCTTCATCTGGTGCCTAGAACCACTTCCTCTTCCACTTCCTGTCTGTCTGGGCTCAGGGTGAGGGTTCATATCATGAAAGAAATGCTGCAGACCGCCAAAGTCTGGCCAATAACACTGGTATAACTGGTGGTAACTACACTTAATCATGCATTGGAAAGCACAGTTCCCTCTGTATATGGGAGTTGTGCTGTATGTTAATAGTCGTTTACTAAAAGCACTGTAGGTACAGTTGAAGTCGGAAGTTTACATACAATTAGGTTGGAGTCATTAAAGCTTGTTTTTCAACCACTCCACAAATGTCTTGTTAACAAACTATAGTTTTGGCAAGTCGGTTAGGACATCTACTTTGTGCATGACAAGTAATTTTTCCAACAATCGTTTACAAACAGATTATTTCACTTATAATTCACTGTATCACAATTCCAGTGGGTCAGAAGTTTACATACACTAAGTTGACTGTGCCTTTAAACAGCTTGGAAAATTCCAGGAAATGATGTCATGGCTTTAGAAGCTTCTGATAGGCTAAATGGCATATTATAATTGACATCATTTGAGTCAATTGGAGGTATGCCTGTGGATGTATTTCAAGGCCTACCTTCAAACTCAGTGCCTCTGCTTGACATCATGGGAAAATCAAAAGAAATCAGCCAAGACCTCAGAAAATACATTGTAGACCTCCACAAGTCTGGTTCATCTTTGGGAGCAATTTCCAAACGACTGAAGGTACCACGTTCATCTGTACAAACAATATTACGCAACTATAAACACCATGGGACCACGCAGCCGTCATACCGCTCAGGAAGGAGACGCATTCTGTCTTCTAGAGATGAACGTACTTTGGTGCGAAAAGTGCAAATCAATCCCAGAACAGCAGCAAAGGACCTTGTGAAGATGCTGGAGGAAACAGGTACAAAAGTATCTCTATCCACAGTAAAACGAGTCCAATACGACATAACCTGAAAGGCTGCTCAGCAAGGAAGAAGCCACTGCTCCAAAACCGCCATAGAAAAGCCAGACTACGGTTTGCAACTGCACATGGGGACAAAGATCATACTTTTTGGAAAAATGTCCTCTGGTCTGATGAAACAAAAATAGAACTGTTTGGCCATAATGACCATCGTTATGTTTGGAGGAAAAAGGGGATAGCTTGCAAGCCGAAGAACACCATCCCAACTGTGAAGCACAGGGGTGGCAGCATCATGCTGTGGGGGTGCTTTGCTGCAGGAGAGACTGGTGCACTTCACAAAATAGATGGCATCATGAGGAAGGAAAATTATGTGGATATATTGAAGCAACATCTCAAGACATCAGTCAGGAAGTTAAAGCTTGGTCGCAAATGGGTCTTCCTAATGGACAATGACCCCAAGCATTCAAGAAAGTCAAGGTATTGGAGTGGCCATCACAAAGCCCTGACCTCAATCCTATAGAAAATGTGTGGGCAGAACTGAAAAGGCGTGTGCGAGCAAGGAGGCCTACAAACCTGACTCAGTTACACCAGCTCTGTCAGGAGGAATGGGCCAAAATTCCCCACTTATTGTGGGAAGCTTGTGGAAGGCTACCTGAAACGTTTGACCCAAGTTAAACAATTTAAAGGCAATGCTACCAAATACTAATTTAGTGTATGTAAACTTCTGACCCACTGGGAATGTGATGAAAGAAATAAAAGCTGAAATAAATCACTCTCTACTCTTATTCTGACATTTCACATTCTTAAAATAAAGTGGTGATCCTAACTCACCTAAAACAGGGAATTTTTACTAGGATTAAATGTCAGAAATTGTGAAAAACTGAGTTTAAATATATTTGGCTAAGGTGTATGTAAACTTCCGACTTCTACTGTAAATGGATTTCTAGCTAGAGGTAAAGCCTATTCAATCCCTCTCATCTCTACTCTAATAACATAGTCATTACATCTAGCTCTGGGCAAGGAAACACAAAAAGACAGAGAGAAGGCCACATCAAAATGGACCATTCTCACAGAGATAGCCTAACTCCATTTGAACCATGTCACTAGATTGAGTGTGTCCCCTCTCTCAAAGATGAACTCAACACAAAAAACAACAAATAGAAGCCATAACTCAATAACAACACTGAGTGATCCACCAGTGGATAAACATGGTTAGAGCTTTGTCTTTCTCCCTCCCCCACTCGGAACCTGGAGACAACAAACAGCAGCCTAATCACCTCCAAAGACTATCACTTTCTCCATTTGTTCTCTCTTAGCCTGGTGTCATGTGCCTAAACAGATCGAACAACAAAAACACAGCCATTTACAGGAGTCTTAAATGAGTCAGGCTCAGGCAGGTGATATCTAAAAGCCTGCTATCTATGGTCTGCTTTGCTTTACAACATATGAAAACAGACTCATTAAGGCTGGGCGCTCTTTAGCTTTTGTGTTGATATTACTACGTATTGTTCTGTGCTCACCCCTCTCTTGTACCCATTAACGTTAGCTGTTGTGGTCCTGTTGAGACATTACTCTGCTCTCCCTATTCCCTCTCACTCTTTCTACGAATCTCTCACTCGTTGACTCCCTCTCTCCCCCCTTCTGTACCTCTCCTTCTCTACCTCCCCCCTCTCATACGCTCCTCTGTCTCCCTTTCTCTCCCTGTGTTATTAGCGTTAGCCCCAGTGCTGTTAACGGGCCTGTGGTGTTTGTGCGCTGAGCTGAACGTCAGCTAGCTAGGTAATAATCGGAGGTGTCTCTGGGAGAGATTTGGAAGAGACACTGCCAACCGGCCGACGCCCACAGGAAAGGTCATTGGCTAATTAATGCACCATTTCATTAGCGCCCACCACGCTGCACCGCCGCTGGAGTTTAACTGCCTAACACCCGATCTGGGCCTAAGTAATAGCTGGGAGATCATTAGCAATGGAACAACCTGTTAAAAAAAAAAAACGTCGATACGGACCCATTAGTGCTGACATGAGGGGGGGGGCACAATGGCAGGTGTCACATTCAAGTTCAAGTTTTATTAGTCGTATGTACGGGATACGTAGGGTATAAATCGTCCAACTGAATGCTTGCAGGTTCCTTCTCGACAACGCAACAACAATAACAAATAATAAAAGATAAGAATACGAACATAAAGTAAATGGCTCAGTAGAATAGAATTTTAGCATATGTATAATACAGGAAGGCACAATTTAAAGGAGGATAGGGGGCAAGTGTATAAATTGATGATTAGTATAATAAGAGCCTGGTAGCAGCAGTTGTGATGTGTGTGTAGCATGAGTGTGTGTGTGTGTGTGTGTGTGTGTAGCATGGTGTGTGTGTGTGTGTGTGTGTGTGTGTGTGTGTGTGTGGGTGGATGCACGAGTGAGTGCATGTGTGCTAAGGTGCGCAGTGTGCCAACATGATTGGTGTGCTGCTTGCATGATGACCGATCCTCTACTGATCCCACTGCTCACAGAGCCCCATGGGTGTTTTACCTCTCATTGTAAGTGGTACTCAACCCAGTGTCCTACTGACAACCGTCCTTCACCTTGAGAATGCCTGAAGTGGTTCAGTTAGGTTCCGTAAGGTTCCGTAAGGTTCTAGGTACAGTACCTGGCTCCTGCCACGGCGCCGATAGTTCCTGCGCACAATGTTCTTGTAGTTCTCGTTCTTTTTAGTCAGGTAGTAGAAGAGGACACTCTCTGCCACCGTCTGAAACAAAACACAACATTACTCGGACCTCATCTCCCAAGCAGGATGACAATACAAGACAAAGGAGATGATTGTGGACTACAGGGAAAAAAAAGAGGACTGAGCACGCCCCCATTCTCATCGACAGGGCTGTAGTGGAACAGGGTGAGAGCTTCAATTTCCTTGATGTCCACATCACCAACAAACTATCATGGTCCAAACACACCAAGACAGTGGTGAAGAGGGCACGACAAAGCCTATTCCCCCTCAGGAGACTGAAAATATTTGGCATGGGTCCACAGATCCTCAAAAAGTTATACAGCTGCACCATCAAGAGCATCCTGACTGGTTGCATCACCACCTGGTATGACAACTGCTCGGCCTCTGACCGCAAGGCACTACAGAGGGTAGTGCGTATGGCCCAGTACATCACTGGGGCCAAGCTTCCTGCCATTCAGGACCTCTATACCAGGTGGTGTCAGAGGAAGGCCCTAAAAATTATAAAAGACTCCAGCCACCCTAGTCATAGACTGTTCTCTCTGCTACCGCACGGCAAGCAGTACCGGAGCGCCAAGTCTAGGTCCAAAAGGCTTCTTAACAGCTTCTACCCCCCCAACCCCAAGGCCCTCTTTTACGCTGCTGCTACTCTGTTTATTATTTATGCATAGTCACTTTAACTCTACCCACATGTACATATTACCTCAATTACCACAACTAACCGGTGCCCCCGCACATTGACTCTGTACTGGTACCCCTTGTATATAACCTCCCTACTGTTATTTTACTGCTGCTCTTTAATTATTTTGCTTTTTTTTTTTTACTGCATTGTTGGTTATGGGCTAGTAAGTAAGCATTTCACTGTAATGTCTACACCTGTTGTATTCGGCGCATGTGGCAAATAAAATTTGATTTGACTACTCAGGTGTCAGGACTTGGGGTCTACCACGTGCATGTGAGTGAGGGGGGAAGGATCTTCCAAACTGTACCTTTCTCTCCAGGAAAGAAGCAATCAGGCCAAAGTTCTTTGGGTGCTGGATGAACCTGTGAGCACAAAGCAGACAGAGATAAATATTCAACACTTTCTATCAAATGAATTATCTATAGGCACTCTGTGTCTTTTGATATGCAGGTAAATTGTGGAGTGAGTGACGCATGTGTACTTTGCCTGATGGGAGACTGATGTGTCATCCCATCAGTGATGACACATCACAGTCACACTTCCATCTCTCCAGAGATATTTCACTCTATATTATTCATCTAAAGAATGCTCTTATCCACACTAACCTACAGCTCCCTCACCATACTTCTATCAGTGCATCCTGCCTAACATTACTTTATATCCCAATAGGATAAAATAGCCAGTACTGAGCATTGCTTACATCTCTCCCAACTCTCTCTTACTGAGGGTTGAGGCTGAGAGCGTTGAGGCTGAGAGGGTAAGACACTTCACCGTGCAGTCTGCAGCAGCAGGCATCACATCTCTCTCTCTCTGCACCGGGGCAGCATTCACAGTCTCTGATCTCTGTCTGTGGTTAACGTTTGGCTGGTTGATATATCCTCTCATTTCTCACAAAGGGGGAAGACTCACTTCCTCAACAACTCCCGGACCTTTGGATAGGTCACAGACATTTCTATTCCAATCTCAGTCTGACCAAACAACCATGCATGCCACTTCTCACTGCTCTCAGAAACACAAAACAATTCTTTGTCTACTACTGCACAGCACACAGTTCTGCCATTCTATGCCATTTATTTCTACAACTGCGTGAATGACTTACTTCTCACGGAAGGTGTCCTTCTCCTGCTCGCTCCACATGTTCATCAACTGCCGGTCCTTGTACACCTTCATGGGGTCATCCATCAGGCCGTTCATGTTGATGAACTTGATACGCTGCTGCTCCGCGTCAAATAGCATGGGAGGGATGACCGCCAGCTGACGCATTTGCTTCTCGGTGTTCTGATACAAACACGCACCCGCACACACATGTAAACACACACACAATCAGACAAACAGACAACATTTATTGGAGTGAGTAGGCTGTAGTGTACACCATAACAGAGCTTTCCAAATACAGGAGGCAGAGATAAACACAGTGAATAGAGGCAGCGGTGGTGAGACAGGCGCAGCAGTCGTGTTGTGTTAAGTGTGTAAGAGGTCATGAGCTGTAGAGGAAGTTTGAGGTCAGGGAGGAGGAGGGGAAGAGAGCGACGCTGCACGCCTAGGGTGAGCAGCCAGTTCGTATCCAGATGTAAGGCACCACAGCGGATTGGGCCTGGGCTGACCTTACAGAGAAACACTGCCGCTGTACTGTACTCAGTGTAATGACTAGCCCTGTTATTCGCAAGCCAGTGCTTGTCCTGTGGAACACTCACAGCAGGGACCCTGTGGCTGACATCTCTCCCCCTTCTATCCTCAGCATGCCTTTCAGAGGGGAGGGAGAGAGGGAGGAATGAGGGTGACTGGGGTAGAGAAGAGAGGAAATAACATCTCTAACCACTGTGCAGAGTTAAAACTCATCGGTTGTGCAAGTGGCAGAGCTAGTCTCTTTACTGTCTGTCTGTCTGTCTGTCTGTCTGTCTGTCTGTCTGTCTGTCTGTCTGTCTGTCTGTCTGTCTGTCTGTCTGTCTGTCTGTCTGTCTGTCTGTCTGTCTGTCTGTCTGTCTGTCTGTCTGTCTGTGTAAATATCTGTATTTAGAAAGTATTCATACTCCTTGACTTATTACAGCCTGAATTGAAAATTTATTAAATATATATTTTTCTGACTCATCTACACACATTACCCCATAACGATAAAGTGAAAACATGTTTTTTGAAAGAAATTCAAATTGATTGAAAATGAAATACAGAAATATCTCAAATGAGTATTCACATCCCTGAGTCAATACATGTTAGAATCACCTTTCACAGCGATTACAGCTGTGAGTCTTTCTGGCTAAGTCTCTAAGAGCTTTGCCCATCTGGATTGTATATTTGGCCTTGTGTTTTAGGTTATTGTCCTGCTGAAAGGTGAATTTGTCTCCCAGTGTTTGTTGGAAACCAGACTGAACCAGGTTTTCTTCTAGGATTTTGCTTGTGCTTAGCTCTATTCCATTTATTTTTATCCTAAAAAACTCCCTAGTTCTTGCCGATGACAAGCATACCCATAACATGATGCAGCCACCACCATGCTTGAAAATATGAAGAGTGTTACTCGGTGATGTGTTGGATTTGGCCCAAACATAACGATTTGTATTCAGGACATGAAGAATTTCTTTGCCAAATTTTTTACAGCTTTACTTTAGTGTCTTATTGCAAACAGGATGCATGTTTTGGAATATTTTTTATTCTGTACAGGCTTCCTTCTTTTCACGCTGTCATTTATGTTAGTATTGTGGAGTAAATACAATGTTGTTGATCCATACTCAGTTTTCTCCCATCACAGTCATTAAACTCTGTAAGTGTTTTAAAGTCACCATTGGCCTAATGGTGAAATCCCTGAGCAGTTTCCTTCCTCTCCGACAACTGAGTTAGGAAGGACGCCTGTATCTTTATAGTCTGGATGTATTGATACACCATCCAAAGTGTAATTAATAACTTCACCATGCTCAAAGGGATAAGACATTTTAGGTTTTCATTTTTAATTAATTTGTAAAAAATTCTAAAAACATAATTCCACTGACAATTAGGCGGTATTGTGTGTAGGCCAGCGTAACAAAATCTTAATTTAATCCATTTTAAATTTGGACTGTAACATAACAAAATGTGGAAAATGTCAAGGGTTGTGAATACTTTCTGAAGGCACTGTATCTGTCTGGATCACACATCATCACATGCTTCCTGAACTGGTTATAAGTGTTATGCAGCTACAGTAACTGTCATTCAGACATTGGTGATTGAGAGGGTCAAGCAACAGGCATGACAAGAACACTGTATATTCATGAGTGAGAGAAAGGGCACTAAAGAGGGAGAGATCTGGGGAATGACTGATCCAGAGGAGAGAGACAATGGCGGGAGAGGAAGAGAGGGAGGTGAAGAAGTGTAAGAGCTTTTGTCTATTTTCCTTGAGAACTATGATAAAATCATTGTGTTGGGCAATTTTAATATTCATGCTGGCAAAGAGACTGACTCCAAGTCCATTGAATTAATGAATCTTTCGAGCTCTATGGACTTTATCCAACATGTTACTATAACCGTGGCCATACTCTGGACCTGGTTATAACCAAGGGGCTTTCTATTGACATCTCTATTGCTGATGTTAATTCATCTGATTATCACTGTGTCTTTTTTACTACCTTGTTGCCCATAGCACAGGGTAATGCTGAACACATTATTATGAAACACTATCTTACCTCTGAAGTTGCTACAGATTGTATTGAGTGTATGAACAATATTCCATCACCTATTCTGCCTTCCCCTTGTGACGATTTAGTTGATAACTTTAATAGCAAATTAAGGGCAACCATTGATGCCATAACTCCAGTAAAGTTGAAAAAGGCCACATCCAAATGGAGAGCCCCTTGGATGAGTGACGAAACTAATCAATTGAAGAGAAATTGCAATAAGGCAGAGCGGAAGTGGAGGAAGTCAAAGTTGCAGGTCCATTATGATATTCTGAGAGAGCAACTTGGCATATACAGTGGGGAGAACAAGTATTTGATACACTGCCGATTTTGCAGGTTTTCCTACTTACAAAGCATGTAGAGGTCTGTAATTTTTATCATAGGTACACTTCAACTGTGAGAGACGAATCTAAAACAAAAATCCAGAAAATCACATTGTATGATTTTTAAGTAATTAATTTGCATTTTATTGCATGACATAAGTATTTGATCACCTACCAACCAGTAAGAATTCCGGCTCTCACAGACCTGTAAGTTTTTCTTTAAGAAGCCCTCCTGTTCTCCACTCATTACCTTTATTAACTGCACCTGTTTGAACTCGTTACCTGTATAAAAGACACCTGTCCACGCACTCAATCAAACAGACTCCAACCTCTCCACAATGGCCAAGACCAGAGAGCTGTGTAAGGACATCAGGGATAAAATTGTAGACCTGCACAAGGCTGGGATGGGCTACAGGACAATAAGCAAGCAGCTTGGTGAGAAGGCAACAACTGTTGGCGCAATTATTAGAAAATGGAAGAAGTTCAAGATGACGGTCAATCATCCTCGGTCTGGGGCTCCATGCAAGATCTCACCTCGTGGGGCATCAATGATCATGAGGAAGGTGAGGGATCAGCCCATAACTACACGGCAGGACCTGGTCAATGACCTGAAGAGAGCTGGGACCATAGTCTCAAAGAAAACCATTAGTAACACACTACGCCGTCATGGATTAAAATCCTGCAGCGCATGCAAAGTCCCCCTGCTCAAGCCAGCGCATGTCCAGGCCCGTCTGAAGTTTGCCAATGACCATCTGAATGATCCAGAGGAGGAATGGGAGAAGGTCATGTGGTCTGATGAGACAAAAATATAGCTTTTTGGTCCAAACTCCACTCGCCGTGTTTGGAGGAAGAAGAAGGATGAGTACAACCCCAAGAACACCATCCCAACCGTGAAGCATGGAGGTGGAAACATCATTCTTTTTGGATGCTTTTCTGCAAAGGGGACAGGACGACTGCACCGTATTGAGGGGAGGATGGATGGGGCCATGTATCGCGAGATCTTGGCCAACAACCTCCTTCCCTCAGTAAGAGCATTGAAGATGGGTCGTGGCTGGGTCTTCCAGCATGACAACGACCCGAAACACATAGCCAGGGCAACTAAGGAGTGGCTCCGTAAGAAGCATCTCAAGGTCCTGGAGTGGCCTAGCCAGTCTCCAGACCTGAACCCAATAGAAAATCTTTGGAGGGAGCTGAAAGTCCGTATTGCCCAGGATCTGGAGAAGGTCTGTATGGAGGAGTGGGCCAAAATCCCTGCTGCAGTGTGTGCAAACCTGGTCAAGACCTACAGGAAACATATGATCTCTGTAATTGCAAACAAAGGTTTCTGTACCAAATATTAAATTCTGCTTTTCTGATGTATCAAATACTTATGTCATGCAATAAAATACAAATTAATTACTTAAAAATCATACACTGTGATTTTCTGGATTTTTGTTTTAGATTCCGTCTCTCACAGTTGAAGTGTACCTATGATAAAAATTACAGACCTCTACATGCTTTGTAAGTAGGAAAACCTGCAAAATCGGCAGTGTATCAAATACTTGTTCTCCCCACTGTATAACAACAACTTGATCACTAATAATCAGAATAATTTGAGTGTGCTCTTCTCGACAATTGATGGCCTGATAAATCCTACCCCCGCAAACCTTTGTGAACTTTCCTCCACATCTAAATGTGATGAGTTTGCGACATATTTCAGATATAAGATAACAAACATTAGGCTGGGTATCAGTCAAGCAAGACCTGATGAGAACTTTGATATGTGCCCTAGCCTATCACGCAAAGGCGGTATGGATTTATTTTCCCTGGTTGACACAGACATGCTCAGGAAAGTGATATCACAACATAAGACTTCTACCTGCCTTCTTGAGCCTATCCCCCACCACCTTCAAAACAGTTTTTCATTGCATATCTGAAGAAGTGCAAGCTATTGTTAATCACTCCCTGTTCACAGGCACTTTCAGCCCTGCACTAAAAACTGCTATGGTGAAACCCCTTCTGAAGAAAAGTAATCTAGATTCTTCAGCTTTTAGCAATTTTCTGCCAATTTCCAACCTTCCATTCTTAAGCAAAAATCTGGAGGAATTGGTTTTCAAACAGCAAAATTATTTTTTAAGTGCAAACTGTATTTTTGAACAATTCCAATCTGGTTTTCGGGCCCACCACAGCACAGAGACAGCCTTAGTTAAAGTGGTAAATGACCTTAGAGCCAACACAGATGCCAAACAGCTCACTGTCCTTGTACTTTAAGTGCGGCATTTGACACTGTTGACCATGATGTCCTTTTGGACAGACTGGAGAGGTGGGTTGGCCTCTTCGGTCCAGTTCTAAATTGGTTTAGGACCTATTTAACCGGTCGATAGTTTGCACCCTTGGTGAACATACTCAGAGAAAATGCATATCACGTGGCGTTCCACAAGGTTCAATTTTGGGTCCGGTACTGTTCAGTTTATATAGGTTACCCCTTGGCAGTGTTATCAGAAAGCACAGCATTGATTTTCACTGCTACGCAGACGATATACAACTTTACATCTGTGTCACCAGAGGATTTTAGTTCCACGGATAAATTATTAGACTGTATTAGTGATTTAAATACTTGGATGGCTCACAACTTCCTCCAGCTAAATCAAGACAAGACCGAGGTACTTATTGTTGGAGCCAAAGCACAGAAAGAGAATCTGGCCGCATATTTTAATTCACGGGCAATAAAGATAACACCAGGTAAAAAAACCTAGGTATTATTTTAGATTCTGAAGTCAATTTCAAATCACACATTAGGAATGTGACCAAAACAGCTTATTACCACCTGAGGAACATTGCCAAGGTGCGGCCGTTTCTCTCTCAGGCTGATACAGAAAGACTCATACATGCTTTTATTACAAGCAGGCTTGACTACTGTAATGCTCTCCTGTCTGGTCTACCCAAGAAAGCCATTGGTCAACTGCAAAACATACAGAATGCTGCAGCACGGGTACTGACCAAGACCAGACGGAGAGCAAACATTACACCGGTTTTAAGGTCTCTGCACTAGCTGCCTGTGAGTTTAGAATTCATTTTAAGATACTTCTATTGTTTTTTAAATCAATCCACAATTGTGCACTCCAATACCTGTCAGACATGCTTTTGAGTTATGTACTTAGTAGGTCCCTCAGGTCCTCTGGCACTGGCCTTTTAACTATCCCAAAGCCTAAGACCAAGAGGCAGCCTATAGTTACTATGACCCCAGCCTCTGGAATAGCCTGCAAGAGAACCTGAGGGGTGCCGAAACTGTGGACATATTTAAAAGAGATCTCAAAACACACCTTTTTAGCGTCGCTTTTCCTTAGGGTGCTTTTTAGTCGTTCAGTTTTTATTGTTATTCTTTTGTTTTTTATCCTCTTATGTTTGTTGTGGAGTAAATATTTCAGTTGTTTTTATTTGTTTTTTTCCAGTGAAGCACATTGTGTTGCATTCCATGTCTGAAATGTGCTGTATAGATAATGCCTGATTTGATTTGGAAGAGCTCACCTCTTGCTCTGATATGCCGTCGATGATCTCAGAGACCTCGTGTTCACTGCGGGCTGCAGACGAGGCCAGTCCTCCTCCACGTTGCCCCACCCGGCTGCTCCACACCAGGGGAACATAGAGGACATGTCAACACACTGCATGTACAGGAACTGAGCTCCTCCTTCTCTGACATCATACACAAACACTTCCCTCCATACTGTAACCAAGTAACAACTCAACGTAATCAGACTTTTTAACCGATTGGAATCAATTATCTAATGTTTGACAAATACAGTAAACTAGAATCCCAATCTACTATATGCAGGAGCAGGAGGCCCCGGGCCTTGACTCACCTCTGCATGCGCTCCTGCAGCTCTCTCTGCTTGCGGATCTCAGGGAACTGTTTCTCGTAGTACTCGCGCACCTTGTTCTCCTTGGCCCGGCGCCGGGGGTTGTTCTCAATACGCTCCACCTTCTTCTCCCAGGCCTCCATCAGCTGGTCATAGCGCTGGCAGAACTTCTGTTCCTGAAGGGGCAAAAAAACACTTCATATAACCAACTCCTCCAAAATACAACTAGTGTCCTATTTTGCTCCATGCAGCATGATGTGCTGTGCTTCTGCAGGGACTGAGTCTAACCTTGAGTCATGACCAGAACAGAGCGCCATGTTTTCCCAGCTGTTCGGCAGGGCAGACTGTAAAGCAGACCATTAACCCTGGAGGAGACACAGCCCTCTGAGGCCTCTTAAAACAGCTGCCCATGTCTCTCCAGCTTGCACTCTGCCTCGCTCCCCTCTCCCGCCTGGAACCTCTACTTACACTACACACCATGACTAGTGGATCCATGACCCTGCAGCGCATGGCCCGTCAACTAGTGCTATGGGGCGGTAGGTGTGCCTCTCTATAAATTACAGTTTAGATATGGTTTCTGCATTTAGGGTTAGGGTTAGAGTAACTGTGCAACTATTAAATTATTCACAATTCTCCTGCATTGTTGAGGATGTCATTTTACTGATGTGAAACATGTTTCTTACACATAATGTATCCCTGTGGAAATATATTCCACAGGAAAAGTAAGGGCTTGATTTGTGGTAAAGATTTTCTGTCAAGGCGGGTGATTGAGGATGTTTGCCTAACTCTGACATCAGAGCCTGGACGATCGATGGCAGGATTATTTATAGCCCTGCCAGCTGCCTTGGTCCTGCTCAATCACTGACACACACACACAGAGCGAGCAGTGGTGCATCTCCTGTACCATCTACCATCTCCTAACCAGACAGGAAGCAGACTTGATGTGACAGAGAAGAAGAAAGTCCTGGGAGAGCTGAATCACAGAGAGACATCTCCTTTATTTTATTTTTACCTTTCATTTTTCAAAAGCCATAATAGCTGTGGTCCAACACTTCATAGGAGTAGCTACTGCTACAGTGTTACTAAAGAAGAGGCACAAGGGCCTAGAGCTCTTTTCATTTTGGTCTGTGGAACACGGACTCTCTTCAACGAGCTCCTGGCCCAGTTTACATCTAGCCATCTGTCATAGAGTAGTCCCAGCAGAGAAGCACACTGTTCTGTACTCACCCACTGCTTACGAGCATGATTTCTCCTCTTGAAGTAAAGAATTAGCTTCTTCCTCATCGCCTGGTTTCTGTGAAGGGTGAAGAAAGGAGAAAGAGAGATACATAGGAAAGATAAATGGAAAGGGACAGTAAGAAAGAAACTGAGAGGAAAATCAACAGAAAGATTTGAATTACATTTTCTGACAGTTTGGGAAGAATAAAAACGTGTATTTCTAACCCGCACATTCAATGATTTGCGCGCTTATGTCAACAGCAATAAGCCTCTGTGAGCACACGGAGTAGCTTACATGTCCTGCTGTCCAGGTTTGAACTTTATTACACCCCCCCACACACACACACACAATTCCAGTCCCTAAGTCGATAAACACCAAATCGCTTCATGGGGGGGGGGGGGGGGGGTGCGGTGGACAACAAGAGGAGCCAAACTTTTAAAGTTGGTCCGGCCCGGCAATGGCTTCAAATAAAGGCCAGGGCAGTAATCTGCTTAGGCAGCGGCTCCCTCCGTTAACTCGGCCTTTGGTGAAAGATGACGTTTTATTCCTGACACTTAATCTGTCAATTGTAAGGTCACGTTCCTCCTGATTAATGTAATCTAATTCAACATTAGTCACATCAGCTGGAATCCAGGCCCCCAGGTCACAGGCAAGGACAGACAGCAGGAAGTAAGTAAGGCTGTACTAGTGTGTGTGTGTGTGTGTGTGTGTGTGTGTGTGTGTGTGTGTGTGTGTGTGTGTGTTTGTTTACGCACACACGCGTGTCAAGCAGAAGAAAACAGCACAGAAGCAGTCTAAAGATATTGTAAGTGGACACTGTGACCTCTTCATTAAAACATAAAGACACCCCCATCTACACGTTTCTATATAAACAAACATCTAAACTCACATTAAAATAAACCCATAGAGACCCATATGAACACTGATTCACACACATATACAAACACACACAATATCACTCCGTGTGCATAGACACAATACAGGCGGAGATACTAGGCCGAACACAAGACAGACAAAAACACACACAGACAGCCAGAGTTCTATATTGAGTAGTGGGTAATAAGATGTTAGAGGTGCATAGAGGAGAAGTGTGTGTGTGTGTGTGTGTGTGTGTGTGTGGTTGGAGTTTGGAGGGGGAGGGCTACTGTCTGGGGGCTGGAAGGTCATTCTTCACACCTCCGAGCTGTGACTTCACCAAATCTCCATGCGTGCCACACTCTTCCCACACCACTCTAACATGTGGGCTGACCTGCTAACATGTGGGCTGACCTGTCAGTCTGACAGAGATATATATTTATGCTGTTGTGGAAAACAAAATACCTTTCATGTAAGACTGAATGTAATGAGTTGGGGACTGGGGTGGTCTGGAGGCGAACATGTCCATACTAGACTGCCAGCTTGGATGCCATAGTCACATCACATGCCTGTGTGTGTGTGTGTGTGTGTGTGTGTGTGTGTGTGTGTGTGTGTCAAGCAGAAGACAACAGCACAGAAGCAGTCTAAAGATACTGTAAGAGGACACGGTGACCTCTTCATCAAAACATGTTCCTATATAAACAAATATCTAAACTCACTGATTCACTCTCCCACACACTCAGACACGTACATAAACAAAAACAAACAATATCACTCAGTGTGCATAGACACAATACAGGCGGAGATACAGGCCTAATACATCCAGACAAGACAGACAATAACACACATATGAACAGTAGACACTAGGGTTGGGCCGATATACTCTGAGTGCACAAAACATTAAGAACACCCCCCCCCCCCTTGTGTTTTGTACACTCAGTGTATGATTAAATAAATTTTTAATTTATTTAACATTGACGATGCATCGTTAAATGCAAGACGATATATCATGTGCTAGCCTATCCTCTATTTGAAATTTACAAATCAAAACTGTGCCGTTTTATCAGTTAGGCTATACCAATATGTTGAAAATTAAGTCTAAATGAATTAACTAAGCCTTATTTTTTCACCATACTAAGATTATTTATTGATAATGTGACTATTATATCATAAACAACCACAACAATTGCACAGTGGAATTATCTTGTCATTAACTGTGCTTTTCTTTTTTTATGCCTCATTTACATATTTTTCAGATACAAATTTGGTCTTGTAATTAGAAAAATGTTTATTAGATATACAGCCTCTCTTCTGTCATGCTGTAGAATACTAAATAGCCTTGCTCACCAGAATAATATAATAAATTGATAGAATGAAAGCATCATCAACAATCTATTTGACATTGGTAAAGTTCTCTATTTAATTTCTGCTTCTCTTGCAGAGCGAGGACGTTTAGTGACCAGGGAGATTTTCTGTGCAAAATTTCCAAATGACATCAGTTTGACTGGTTTCAAGGAAATTAAAATGTGAAAACGATCCAACATGTTTCTGATAGTACTGTATTTCAGTTAGTCTTGAATGCATATTTTATGTGGTTGAAAATGAAATACTGTCAGCTTTTATGTTGCAGAAAAAATATATAGCATGTTTAGGCTATACAACACGGTTTCTTAGCGCGTATCCGCATTCTCTCAAGATGCTGAAATAAATAAATCATAATCGCCACTCCTGTTCCCGAGACAAAATTTACATTTGGTCTATAATTTTACTGCAAGAATACTGCATTAATTCTGCAGGAATTAATATTATAATAGGCTACATGTGAGCCCTACAGTCAGTCCAGACTTCAGTTACTATTCTTACTATTACTGTTCCCATCTGAACTTCAAAAAGGTGTGCAAACCAGAGAGGGCGGCTATGCCCCCGGCGCCCCTACTTCCGCCGTCTCTGGCAGGCAGACCAGGGCTGAGAGATTAAGTCCTTTAAGGACAGAGATGGCATTGTGCTCCGGACACCAGATGGTGGAGGGAAAGATTAGCTGCTCTGGACAGTTTCTAAAGTTCATTTTGTTCAACACTAAGCATGTACTGTATTCCTGAGAAATGTAGAGGTGGTGTCCATGAATCCAAGGTACTCCTCTTTCTTACCAGGGACGGGTGCCAAGGTTATCAAACCGGTTAAGTGAACAAAGAAGTCAATTGTGGTGGATCAAAGCTATACCGCAGTATTTAATAACACACACACGCACACACACGCACACACACACACACACTCCCTTTCTGCTAATTGCTTTGAGGCAATAATACTGATCAAACAGTGCTGGGATCAAACGGAGTGGAGACAGAGGGGCAGTGAAGGTAAGAGGTCAGGATGTCTAGTGGCATACCATCTAACTCATTGTCCACTGACAACTAAGAGTTAAACCTCAAGCGGCCATTTCACTTTCCCCATTTGCACTTTCTGCATTAAAATTAAAATCCTTCACTTAAGTTGCTATAGTAATAAATGTAAGTGCATAACTGTATAAATTCATTTCCACAGAAACATGATCTGAATGTGTTGTCACAGACCACAAGGTTAAAGAATTGTTTCAGCACATTATCATGGCTATAAAGACACCATACACGTGGTCAACACCAAGTGATTCACTTTCTGTGGCCGTTTGTTGGGATGGGACTCTCTGGGGCACACGAGGAGGGGTGCAGTAATGGCATTTAGGACCATAGCAATCACACTGAGCCTACAGCGACAGATGACATAAACACACACACACACACACACACTAGCATAAACCCAGTCCCTTTCCCCAGAGGGCGGGCTAACTTACATTTTGATGTTCTCATGGTACTGCTTGGTGTCGGAGGGCTGGTTGTACAGAGGCTGGGAGAGAGAAGAAACAGATGAAAGGGTTAGTGATGCTGCGAGAGGTGAGAATTTAGTTTCACAGCAGCAAGAAACATCAACGCTAGAGGGTTAAACATACTTTTACAGCTTCTACACTCCCTTCTCTGCACACTGCCTGGTGTCACCGCAACACAGTTGACCCATTACATTCTACCTATAAGATGTTGAACAACAGAGTCTGACATAAGACAAATGATGGTGTGATATCATACTGGTTTATACACGTGTTTTTCAACATAACCGAGAAAGGTCTGTCAAAAGGTTTTGGCTCACATTGTGTACAAGGTTCTCCCCGAAGAATGTAAGAGGGGTGCTGCACCACTTTGTGTACTGGCTGCAGCATTATGTAATTTTAAAAAAATAGCAGCACCACGTTAAAAATTCCTGGGGAAAAACCTGGGGTCCCATCAATCAATAACTCAACCATTAAATTCAATTATTACTGAATCTATTATTAATTCAAAAGCCCATATAAATCAATGTCTATGAAACACAGTGAAACAAAGCCCTTTGTGAGGCTAATTTGAGCATCGCCCTGAGCTCCAAGGTACTATATAACTGTTAATGCTGTGCCAAGCTGACAACAACAAGCAGTGGGCACATTGAGGACATGACACCCTAATTCAGCCCTTCTCAAGAGACTGGACTGTACAGAGTGAGAACAGACTTATAAGTGAAGGAGTCCATCTTTGGGTACAATTTGTATTAGTTTGGCTCCAAAACAAACAAACAAACAAAAATTCCGGGGCACAAGGGAGCTTAAAAGTTGATGAACCCAATGAACGACAAACTGCTTACATGGGTCAAACATTTGAATCTGAACTTGTTGTTCTCCACTAGAGAACTAAAGCGAACATTAGGTATTATTGTCAAACCCAAATCAGCAAGTATGATGTCTGACTCCGACTGATAATATACAGTACTGTCAGTAAGATCCTCTCCTCCAGGCATCAGCAGCACATTGATGAAACACTCGCCGTGTCTGGCTCAGACAGACGGCGCCATCATTATGTCCATCCATCTCTCACTCTCATCCCTGAACAGAATAACTAAACACACCTCGGCCTCTCTCCAGGGCCTGCTCCCTACACCCCCTGCTACAGATGGCTCTCTTTCGATTCAGACAAACTCCTCCTCCTCAATATTTCTCCTCCCTCTAATCCTCCTCTTGTGCTACTTATCCCTCCTTCCCACGGTCAAATAATACGAGTTGCTAGATATTTTATTCAGGTGACCATTAAGAGGTGAGAAAACAGCAGAGGCTCACCAGTTCAACTCGTGGTCCCAGTCCTTCCAGAATCCTGTGAGCTTCCTCT